TGGGCCGAGGCGCGTTCGACTCGAGGTTGCCGGTGTCCGAGACAAAGACGCCCCCGTGCTCGACCGCGTTGCGCGTGTGGAGGAAGACGAACAGCGAGCGGTACACGTTGCAGGACCATTGCCCCGACGCTCCACGAGGGCCGTTTTTGCCCGACGGACGTGATTGTCAGTGTCGGTCGAGAGCAAAGAGGGAGGGAAGAAGAGCGAGGAGAGGAGAGGGAAAGAGAGGGAGAGGGAGACGAGGACGCACGGGCCGCGACTCCTTCATCGTCTCGCCGAGCTTGATGTCGAACCCGTCCTTGTCCGTCGCGACGGCGAACTTGTCGACGATCTTCTGGCTGATCTGGCTCGGGCGCAGGGCGCGCACCGTGCCCGTCTGGTCGAGGATGCGGAACTGGTCGCGCTCCATCTTGATGATGACGCCGGCCGTCTGCGGGTCGAGCTGGACGAGGTCGTGCAACTCGTAGCCGGCGATGACGTTCACGCCGGCGCCGACCTCGGCCGCCTCGCGCACGTCCTTGGCGAACACGCTCACCTCGGTCGAGCTCAGGTCCGACAGGAACCTGACGACGTCGCCCTCGACCTTGACGACGAGGCCCGTCTCGTCGGCGAGGGGGGGAGAGGGAGAGGGGGAGAGGGAGAGGGTCAGTGCAGGTCCACGCACGCGCGCGCACAAGGGAACCGAGAGAACGGGGAGTGAGGGGGACGCACAGTTTGCGTCGATCGAGTCCTTTGCGTGCCAGGTGACGTCGAGCGGGCTCACCTTGCGCGAGAACGAGTGCCAGTCGGCGAGCAACTCGTGGCGCGAGTAGGCGAACGAGGGCCCGTCGGCGAGCGTCGTCGCCTCGGACCCTTCGGTGTCGGTGTGCGGGTTGCCGTCCTCGGTGTACTGGGCCTTGTCGCGGTTGGCTGGCGCGTGGCGCGAGCTGTGCTGGTACGAGCGCGTCGTGTGGGCATGGAGGTGGGGGAGGAGGAGGAGGAACTGGTGCGGCGAGCGGTGGCGCCAGGACGAGGCGAGCGTCGTAGTCGAGTAGGTGGCAGCGCGCGCAGGTGTCCGCTGTTGCGCGCGAGGTCGAGGTGCGAGGGCGAGGCAGCGAGGGCGAGGCGGTGCAGGGACGGCGAGGGCGACGGGGTGCAGCCGGGAGGGTCCGGCGCGGCACAGCATGTCGCGCTATCCACTCTGCCCGGGTTCTGGCGAGCTGGCCCGGCGTCTAGGCGAGCTGATGGGAGGGCGAGAGCAAGCGAGGCGGCCGCGTTCGGTGACCGCAGTCGACCGGCTCTCGTCCTTGTTGGTTGTGTTGGTGCAGACTTACGTGCGACTGGATCGTAGAGGAGCTCCGACTGCCCTCTGCACTCCTCGAGGGAGCGTGAGAGGCGAGGTTCGACTGTCCCTCTCCCTCTTCATCAGCTCTTGTCGTCGTCCCGCTCACTCGAGGGCCCGGCCGGCCATGAAGCGCTCGTACAACGCCAGCAGCCCGTCTGCGCCCTACCAGCAAGGCTACCCGCAGCCCGCCGCTGCCGCCCCTCCTCCTCTCCCTCCCGGCCCTCCTCCTCCTCCTGCCCCCGCACCCAACCCGTACGCCAACTACGGCTACGGCGGCGGCGGGTTCGACCCGGCCCAGCAGCAGCACGCCCAGCAGTACCCGGGCTATGCCTACCCCCAGGTGCGTTGCTCGCTCCCTCCGTCCCCTCCTTCTCCGCCTCGAGCTCACTCGTCCTGCACCCCCCCCCCGCAGACCGCCGCCGCCACACCTCCCGCACAGCAACCCTACGCCGCAGCCCCAACCGCAGCAGCAGCAGCAGCGACGGCAGCGCCTCCCGACCCAGCCGTCGCCGCCCAGTGGGCCGCTTACTATGCCGCCTACGCCCAGCAGGCGACGGCCGCGGCAGCCGCAGCCGGCGCCGCCGCCTCGCCGTACGGCGCCACCTCGCAGCCCGCCTACGCCCACGCGCAGCAACCCGCCGCTGCTGCGCCGACGCCGTACGGCGCTCCCCCTCCTCCTCCTCCACCTCTTCCGCCAGCAGGCACCTCGCCCCTCGGCGCTCAGCCGCCGTACAAGCGCACGCGCTACGACCAGCCGCCGCTCCCGCCCGGCCCGCCGCCGCCCGCCGCTCCCGGAGGAGGAGGAGGGTACAGCCACCCGCCCATGCCGCCGTCGGTCCTGCCACCCCTCGGCGGCGGCGGCCGCTCGTCCCGCACGGGCCCGCCGCCCCTCGCTGGAGGAGCGGGCGGGCGTGGCGGGCCCCCAGCGCCACGAGGCGGCGGCGGTGACCCGTACGGCGCGGGCATGCCGCCGAGCGGGCCGGGCGGGATGCGCGGCGGCGGGAGGGACATGGGGCCGCGAGGGGGAGGGGGGCGCGGTGGACCGGGCATGGGCATGGGCATGGGAGGAGGGTACGACGACCGCATGATGGGACCGCCGGGCGGAGGAGGAGGAGGAGGAGGAGGAGGGTTCCCGCCGCGAGGAGCGCCGTCGGGGCCTCGCGGCGGCGGCGGCGGCGGTGGAGGAGGGCCGAGGAACGACGAGCGCTCGTTCGGCCCGCCGACGGGGCCACGCGGCCGTCCCTCGCGGCCCATGTCGGGCCTCCCGAGCGGGCCAGCCGGTGGCGGCGGCGGCGGCAAGTACGGCGGCGCGCCGACGGGCCCGAGCGGCGGCGCAGGCCCGCGCGGCGGCGGCGGCGGCGGCCTCGGCGTGCCCAACGCGCCTCGTGGGCCCAAGGCGCAGCCCTCGCGAGGTGAGGCGGGTCTCGGCGCCGGTGCAGCCGGGCGCAACTCGGACGTGAACCGCCAGGCGCCGCGCAAGGAGCGCAAGTGGGGCGCCGGCGGCGGCGGCACGCCGCCCACCGGCCCTGCCGCTGTGGCCTCGTCGTCGTCGTCGTCGTCGGCGGCGGCGGCGGCGAGTACGCCGAGCAAGCGCACGCGCGACCGCGACGCCGACCGCGATCGCGAGGGCGACACGTCGTCGGGCGCAGCCAAGCGCACGTTCACCGACTTCCGCATCGAGGGCCTCTCTTTCCCCGAGCTCGGGTGGGAGTGGAACGCCGAGCGGGTCGAGCACGAGATGCGCAGGGCAGCCGAGAAGCTCGAGCAAAAGGTCCGCGACAAGGTGGCGCAGGGTGCGTCCGACTCTCTCTCGCTCTCTCTCTATCCCTTCCGACCCTCTCTTCTCCGAGCTTGCCCTGACTCGGTTTCGCCTACAGACGCCGCCGCCGCCGCCAAGACGGTCGAGTCCGCCCAAGATGACGACGATGTCGACAGCGAGCCCGTCGCAGGCGACGACTCGACCGGCGACATGTCGATCGACCAGCCGCCGTCCGCCTCGGACCTCGACCTTCCTCCTCCGTCTTTACCACCTCCCGCCGATGCGCCTGCCGCCCCAGCCTCGACCTCGCACGGCAAGCACCGCCGCGACGAGGACGCCGCCGAGCAGGTCGCGCAGCCGGGCGTCGACGACCAGGACGAGGAGGGCGTCAAGCCCAAGAAGGTGCGCGTCGGCGACGTCGAGCTCAGCAGCGGCGGTGCCGGCGCCATCGACGTCGACGTCGACGGCGAGGCGCTGCAGCCAGCGGCGACGGTGCCTCCCGCCGCCGCGAGCCAGGAGCCGGCCAGCGCCGAGGTCGCCGAGACGGCGCCCGCCCAGCCCGAGGGCGAGCAGCAGCCGACCACGACCGCCGAGGAGGCACCTGCCGCCGCCGACGACGACGACGACGACGTGGACGGCGCGCCCCTCGCGCCGTCGTCCCCCGTCCCCGCACCTGCCGCTCGGCCCGCCTCGCTCCCTCCACGCCCGCCGCCCGCCGCACCCGCTCCCGCACGCGAGAACTCGCGCCTGCGCATCTACTTTGCGTCGCCCACTGCGAGCGCGACGCTGCCCGGCGCGGCGGCGGCGGCGGCGGCGGCGGGGCCGGTCAAGGTCGAGCCGGTCAAGGTCGAGCCGGTCGTTCCGGCGTCGGCGGCGACGGCGGTCAAGCTCGAGAAGGACGAAGCGGCCCAGGAGCAGGGTGACGAGGAGAAGGCGGTCAAGGTCGAGCCGGTCGAGCGGGCCGACGTCAAGGTCAAGGAGGCGGCGCAGGGCGAGGCGGCGGCGCCCGAGCCGGTCCAGCTGGGGGAGGACGAGGACGTCGACGGTGAGCCTGTCGGCGACGCACCGGACTCGGCTCCCGCCGACGGCGTCGGCGCCAAGGACCAGGCGCCGGTCGAGCAGCCGGTCGTGCCCGAGACGGGAGGCGACGCCGCGAGCGAGGACGGAGCGCCGGTCGGGCCCGACGAGAACGACGACGAGGGCGACGAGCAGGAGGGAGAGGAGGAGGACGACGACGACGACGACGACGACGAGCTGCTCATCACGGCGGCCGACTCGGGCGACGTCAACGAGGAGCTACAGCAGCTCCTAATCGCCCAGGTCAAGGAGCAGCTCGCCGCCGAGTCGGAATCCCTCCGCGACTCGTCGCCTGCGCCCTCCGTCGCCGAGACCGACGCCGCCGCCGCACCTGAACCCGCACCTGAACCCGCGCCCGCACTCGCGCCGCCGCCGCCGCCGCCGCTCGCGCCCATCGCGCCCGAGCCCTCAGCCGACCGCATCTCGATCTCGTACGCGCGCAACACTCGGCGCGTCGTCCTCGACGCCGACGTCATCGAGTCGGTCAGGGTGTTCCGCAGCGACGGGCGCGTCGAGCTCGCCGTGCGGTGCCGGCCGGCGCGCGCTCGCGAGGGCGAGGGCGAGGGTGAGGTGGACGATGAGACGAGGGTGTGCAAGGGCGTCCTCGTGCGTCGTGGCCTTCTCTCGCTCTCTCTTCGTCCCTTTTTCGGTGGCAGTCACTGACTCGTGCTGCGCGCCCGCAGGTCGAGACGCTCGACGCCGACACGGACGACTACGTCCTCGTCGACCGCAAGGCGCTCGCTCACGCCTGGGCAACCGAGGCGACCGGCGGCGACAGCTCGCACGACCCTCTCCTGCCCCCTCTGCACCGCCTCCTCGTCTCGTCGACCGCCGACCCGTCGTCGTCGTCGTCGTCGTCGTCGACGACGCCAACCTTCTCGCACGAGGTCATCACCGTCTCGGCGCAGCTCGACCGGCAGAACCCGCTCACCGAGGCGCGGTGGGTCAAGACGGGCGAGGTCGAGAACTGGCTCGTGAGCCTCGGCATCTCGAACGGCGCCAAGCCGCACGACGCGGCCAAGCTGAGCGAGTGGAAGGGGAAGATCAAGATTGTCGACCCGGATCCTGTGCGTCGCCGTGCTCCCTCTTCGCGTCATCTCTCACTTTCTCTGTAAGTCACGAGCTGATCCGCGTTATCGGTCGCCGCAGCCTCCGACGATCCAGCACGCGCTCGACTCGTGGGCCGCAAGCTCGAGTGCAGGCTCGCTCGACGAGCGCAAGAAGTTCGTCCGGACGCACATGGCGAGCATCGACAACGGTACGCTCGCGCGCTCTCTCTCTCTCTCTGTCTCTCTGTCGCTGTCTCTCTCGGCGAGCAAGGTCCTCGCCTCGCCGGGTCGCACGCACTGACTCTGCGTCCCCCCTGTCCTCGCCCACAGTCGTCGAGATCCTCTTGCGCCTCACGCGCGGCGACCGCGCCGGCCCGTCGCACTACTCGGCCTCGAGCGGGTACCAGCAGCCTCCCGCGGTCGGCGCGCTCGCCGTCACGCTCGCCGCCCCGTTCCCGGACCAGCAGACGCAGGTGTCGCTCGCGGTCCTGGCCATGTTTCGTCTGAGCGTCAAGACGGCCCAGAGGGCGGGCATCCCGACCGACGAGGTCGAGCGGCAGGTGGCAGAGATTGTGCGCGCGCTGCCGAGCCACTTGCTGTTCAAGAGCGTCGACGGCATGTTTCGCGAGGTCGTCAGGCCGCACTATGGCGGTGGCGGCGGCGGCGGCGGGCACAAGGGCGGAGGAGGAGGCGGCGGTCGGGGCGAGCGCGGCAAAAAGGGCAGGAGGGACTGAGCGCATGAGCGACTCTGCGGGCCGGTCGGCCACGAGGGAGGAGGATGCTTGTTGCGTCGGGCAGCTACGACGAGACGAGCAGTACGGGCGGTCGTCGGCAGGCGCGAGGGCGTGCGCAGGATGGACACGTGGTACGGCGGGTCGAGCGGGTCTGGCTCGCTCGTCGGGAGGGGGGGCTTCCTTCTCCAGCTTTCTCTCTCTCTCTCTTCCTCCCCTTGCGATCGACGGGCGTTTCTCATCCCCGCTCTCGAGGGTCCTGTGCGGGCAGACGAGGCGTCTCGGGTGGGCGCAGGCAGCTCCCGTCTCCACTTGAAGGGTGAGCGGACGAGAGGCTGTCGTCGCTGCGTGCGTGCGCGCGCACTGCTCCCCTTTTTCTCCTCGGCTCGGCTCGGCGGTACGAGTGCGGGACGTGCCCTCGCTGTTCTGCGAGGCGGCACAGAGCGTTTGACCGAGCGAGCGAGCGGCTCGGCGCGGTCGAGCGGCGGGCGAGCGGGACCGTGCACAGCGCACGTACAACGAGCACCGGCTCGTGGCGCCTCCCGCAGCGGGCTCCCACCCCGCATGCGAGTCGTCGGCGAGCATGTACAGCGAGAGACCGAGGGATCCAGAGTCAAGGTGCGTCCCCTTCCTCCTCCCTCGCGGCATCTCTCTCTCCCTCTCTCGAGCCTGCAGCGCGCACCGTCAACTCATCTTCCTCGACGTCTCTGAGAGAGAGAGAGAGAGAGAGCGCGCGCGCGACGCTCGCGTGGGCGAGCTGCAGCAGGGCGAGAGGGGAAAATGGGCTGAGAAAGCGGCCGGTGGCGGCGGCGCGACCGCGACTGCGAGCGAAGCAGCGTCGCCCACGAGCCGTGCGCGGGACGAAGAGAGAGCTGCGCACCAAGTGCACAACGCGGCACACCGTCGCGCGTGAGGCGACGACTCGAGTTGGCCCGGACAGACCGGCGCGAGCCATGACAGCTGGCGGCGGGTTCGGCCTCGAGAACGAGCTGCAGACGGCGTGGCGTGGGCACTGGCCCTTTGTAGCGCTCTCAAGAGGTCGCCGGTCCCGCAGCAGGTCGAGAGCTTCCACCGCAGAAGGCCGGCGACGGGGCAAGCTGGTAGAGTGGCGCAAGGTGGCCGAGCGGGGGGAGAGCAAGCGGCACGGCGACGAGACGGGTGCCGGGCCGCACTCGCGCTGTCGGGCGAGATGTTTTTTTCTAGGGTGAGCTGCAGGCACTTGGGCGCGTGTGGCGGTGGCGACGAGCGGCGTCGACGAGGGAGGGAGGGGGGAAGGAGGAGAGCGGGCGGTGCAGAGCGCGTGACCGTGCAGCAGCCAGCAGACGACGGGCTGCCGCTGCACTTGAGCCTGTTCGAGACTGCAACCAGCTAGTGCTTGCAGATCCCAGGGGGGCGAGAGAGAGCGAAGCGAGGCAATGTGCGGTCGAGGCGGACTCGCCGCGGGGATCTCGAGCTCGAGACGAGGGTGGCGGCACCGCTCGACCTGGTTTCCCCCGTCTGCGTCTCGCTGCCGAAGGTGCGCCCCAGCTCGCCGGACCAACCCTCGAGCGTGTTGCACCAGCTGACCCTTGCCCCCTCCCTCTCCCCTTCGCCACTCTCACCACCCTCACCCCCCTTCGACTCGACCCTCGACCGTTTTTCGACCCGCACCGCCCGCACTCGCTCCCACCGCTACACGCCTCACCGTCACACTCGCCAGTCATCATGGTCAGTCCTGCTCGCCGGTCTGGGACTCGCCGCGGCGCGCGCAGAGCGGGAGGGGGAGCGGGAGGAGCGGGCCTGGTCACGCGAGGTTGCGGGCTTTCGAAGGGGCTACGAGCCGGTGGCGTCGCTCGGGCGTTGCGCGTTCGGGGCCAGGTTGCGCGCGCTCAGAGCTGCGCAGCGCACGACGAGGTGCAGCAGGCGGCCGCGGCCGTCGTCGCCGGGGGGCGAACTGCTGCCGGATCGCCGCCGCCACCAGCACCAACCTGTCCCTCGTCCACGCAGGAACGAGCGTTACTGACCTCTCTGCCGTTTGCCGCACACAGTCTCTCGCTGTTGACCTCCTCAACCCGTCCGCTGAGCAGACCGCCAAGACCCACAAGCTCAAGCGCCTTGTGCAGTGCGTCCCCCTCTCCCTCTCTCTCTCTCTCTCTCGTCGTCGACCCCCTGTGACTGACGCGCTCTCTCCTGTGCAGGTCGCCCAACTCGTACTTCATGGACGTCAAGGTGCGCCCCTCCCTCCCGCCTGCGCGCGCACCCCAGCCCCACCCCACCCTCTCCCGCTCACCCGACCCCGACCCTGACCCTCTTCCCCCTCACACAGTGCCCGGGCTGCTTCAACATCACCACGGTCTTCTCGCACGCCCAGACCGTCGTCCTGTGCGGCTCGTGCTCGACCATCCTGTGCGCGCCCACGGGCGGCCGCGCCAAGCTCACTGAGGGTGCGTCTCGGGCTCCTCCCCCCTCTCTCTCTTCAAGACCGGGACTGGGACTGACCCTCTCCCTCCCCTCACCTCTCCCTCCACGACGACGACGCCGACTCTCTCGCAGGCTGCTCGTTCCGCCGCAAGCAGTAGATCGCGCACACCCCACAGCGCGTTTCTCCTCCGCCGTTGTAACCACAGACTCGGGGCTTGGGCCATCTAGCACGGTCTACGATCTTTGTGTGAGAACCTCGGGCGTGTGGGAGAGAGAGAAGAGAGAGGGAGCGAGAGAGGGGAGGGCAAGGTGGCGCTCGGCGGCTCGTGCGAGGTGCGCTCACTCTCTCGCCCTTTCGCTCGCTCGCTCGCTCGCTCGCGCCACTCGTCGCCGCTACACTCGCTTCAGCTCTCGACAGAGAGAAAGAGTGGTGAAGAAGGTTGCACGTCTCTGCCCTCGCCGGAGAGAAAGAGGGGGTATCGTCGTTCGTCAACCGTCGTCCGTCGGCCGTCGTCGTCGTCGGGTATCTCGCGCCTCACGCGTCGCTCCCCTGCGCGCCTCGCGCCTCCTTCCCACCGGTCTGTCGTCGCCCAGCTCGCTCACTCCTTTGCGCCGGCGCCCTCGCCGAGCCCTTCCTTGCCCGGGACCTTGAACTGGGTCGGCTCGTTGCCGCGGAAGCGTTTCCTGCGCGAGATGCGTTCAGTGTGTCGCTTCCCAGGGGAGAGAGAGAGGGAAAAGAGGGGACGGACCGCATGTCGAGCTGCGAGACGGACGACGACGACGAGGTGGGTGGTGGTCAGCGATCGGGCGGGGACAAGAGGAGAGGAAGAGGGGAGAGCGAGAGGGAGAGAGAGAGCGCACCATGCCGCGCTTGCACTCGAAGAAGGACTTGCGCAAGAGCTGGCACTCTTCGGGGAGCTCGTCGACGTGGTCCTTGAGGCACTCTTGAGGCGAGCGTGGCGGGTCGGAGCGCAGGACGCAGTCGGAGCGGAGGATGCAGTCGGCGAGGGCGGCGCGGATGCCTTGGCAGGACATGCGGGTGTGCTGGGTTGGGTGGGCTGGGGGTTGGAGAGGCGGCGGGTGGCAAGGACGAGGATGGCGATGAGGCGGAGCTTCGAGGCGATGAGATGAAGCCGAGGAGGAGAGGAAGCTCTCCCTCCTCCACCACTCACCGCCGCTGTGAGCCCAGACGCACATGCTCGCACCAGCTACACTACTGCCACGGCGAGCAGCCCTACCGCGACACCGCCCGCTGTCGACCACCTCCCGCCTCCTCGCCCCGCCCTACGTCGTCACCTCTCTCCCCTCGCGCGCCCTCCTCTCCATCCACGGGCCCGACTCGACAAAGCTCCTCCAGGGCCTCGTCTCGAACGACGTCCGCCGCGTCGCCCAGCTCGCCGACGACGACCACCACCACCTGGACAAGCGCCGCGTCGTGTACGCCAACATGCTCAAGGCCGACGTCCGTCTCTCTCTCTCTCTGTGGGTGTGCGCGAGACGAGAGGGCGACCTGACTCGGGGATGCATGCACGCAGGGCCGCTACCTGCACGACATCATGCTCTTCCCCCCACGTCCCTCGCCCTCGTCCTCCTCCTCGTCCGACCCTCCCTCGCCAGGCTTCCTCCTCGAGCACGACGCCGCCTTCACGCCCACCCTGCGCACCTACCTCAAGCGGCACGTCCTGCGCTCCCGCGTCAAGCTCGGGCGCGGAGCCGAGCCCGACCTCGTCGTGACGGCCGCGTGGCGCAACCCGCTCGACGTGGGCCCGGGAAGGAGCTCGAGGGACGAGGTGGACGAGGCAGAGAGGTGGCTCGAGGAGAGGCGAGTTGGGTGGGACCCGAGGGTGGTTGGGATGGGGTATAGGTGGGTGGCGGACAGGGAGGGAGAGCAGCGTGCGTCCCCCCCCGCCTTCCTCCTCGTCGTCGTCGTCCCTCGTCGACTCTCTCGACGCGCGCCCGCCCCTGACGCCCCCGCCCCTCACACAGCCCCACCCTCACTCTTCGCCCCCGTCACGCCCGCACACTACCACCTCCACCGCCTCCAGCACGCCGTGCCCGAGTCGCCGTCCGATTTCCCTGCCCTCCCGCTCGAGGCAAACATCGACCTCATGAACGGCGTCGACTACCGCAAGGGGTGCTACGTCGGGCAGGAGCTCACGGCGAGGACGCACCACAAGGGCGTCGTGAGGAAGAGGGGGGTCGTCTTGAGGCTGTTTCGCGAGGGCGAAGAGTGCGTTCGCGCTCTGGCTCTCTCTCCCTTCTCTCGTGCGCGCCGGGTCCGAGTCATGTGTTCGACACTCGGCGCGCTGGTTCTTTGGGACGCCGAGCTGACACCATGCCCCTCCCGCCACGCAGCGTCCCGACCTCCCCCCTCCCCTCCTCCTCCTCAGGGCCCCTCATCCCCTACCCGTCCCTCTTCCCCCTCCCGCCCCCCTCCTCGACCCTCACCCTCCTCCCCTCCTCCTCCCCCTCCTCGTCCTCGCGCGCCAAACCGCGCGCCCCGCGCCCCTCGGGCCGCCTCGGCACCTCGCTCTGCGCCGCCTCGTCCGGGTCCGGCGCGACGACGCTCGCGCTCGGGTTCGCGAGCGTCAGGCTCGACCACCTCTCGGCGGACGAGGGCGGGAGCGCGCCAGAGGGCGAGGGGGTGTTTGTCGTCAGGGCGCCGGTGTCGGGTGAGGGGGTCGTCGGCGGTGGTGCTGCTGGCGCGGGAGAGGGAGAGGGAGAGGGTGGGGGAGGGCCGCAGGAGTGCGGCGACGGCGCGGGAGAGAGCGACGAGGTGGGCGGGAGGTGGCTCGCAAAGGGGTTCAGGACAGAGTGGCTCGAGTTCAAGCTCGAGGAGGAGGCGGTCGCCAAGGGCTTGTGAGCGCGTGAGCGGGGCAGAGGAGGTGTGCAACGAGCGCTCGGTCGAGGACGTTCGGACCCTCTGTCTCTCTCTCTTTGCGTCGCTCGGTGGCTCTCTCTCTCTCGCTCCGAGGCGCACTTTCTCGGTCCCTGAGAGGCTCTCGCGATGTGCTCGCCTCGCTCGCTCGACACGAGAGACGAAAGACGCACTCGCATTGCTAGCGAGACCTTGGACGACAAGCGGATCCCGACCCTCGCTCTCCTGCCCCTCTCCTGCCCTTCTCCTTCTCGACGTCTCCTCGTCGACTGCGTGTTCCTGTGGGCCGGGAAGAAGTGTCAGTGCGAGTCGGATCGAGAGGAGGAGGAGGAGGGAGGAGAGCAGGAGGACGCACCGACTCAGGGCGTCGGGGCGAGCAGCATCCACGCGCACGCGGACGAACACGATCCGAACGCAGCGTTGCACCCGAGGATGACGGCGGGCGTGCTGGCGCCGGCCGTAATGGTGCCAAAGCTGTGCGCGAGGGGGTGGTCAGAGCGCGTCGGCTGCGCGAGGGACGGCGCGAGGACGAAGGAGAGAGAGAGCGAGGGACGCACACGAATCCGGCCGCGCCGTAGCATGTCACGACACCGGCGGAACAGCAGGCCTGGCAGGCGGCGTAGGCGAGTGGGCCGGCCTTGGCGACTTGGGCGCCGAGGAGGGCGACGACGAGGAGGACTAAGAGGTGGAGCATGTCGGTCGAGCTGCGGGCGGTGCAACGAGGGTGAGCGCCGACGACGCGAGAGGTAAGGGCAAGGAGCACGGCGCACCTGTAAGAGGCGAGTCGACGAGTGTGAGGAAGGAAGGAGAGAGAGAGAGGCGCGAGTCGGCGGCGAGCGAGACGGACCTCGCTCGGTGTCGTCGGGCGAGGCTCGAGCGCCCGCATACGCTGAGCTCCTGAGCCCGCTCGCCGGCATACGTTGACCCTCCCGCCCCCTGCGCGTGCTCCGCCCGTCCAGCGCGAGCTGCGAGCTGCGCACGGAGGGCGCTCGAGCCTCGTCTCGTCGTCGGGTCGCTCGCTGTCGCTCTCGTTCCTCTCGGTCTCTCTCACTTGCGGTACAAGTGACTGCGACTGTCCTTGCACTGAACTCGCCCTGGCAAACTCACAGGCGCGCTAAGCAAAAGCGTTCCTCCTTCCCAGCTCTCCTCCTCGACGTCGAGTCTCGGCCACTTGTAGTCGCCTGTTGCGCGAGAAAGAGTCAGGTCTCGTGCTCGACGTCGAGTAGTCGAGGGGAGAAAGAGAGAGAGAGAGAGAGGGCTCGCCCGCTCAGGCCGTCGGCGAGTGAAGGAGAGGAGCGCACGTCGACGAGCATGAGCTGAGCGCCCGGTTGCACGCGATGATGGCCGCCGGCGCGCCGACGCACTTCCTCACCGTGCCGTAGCTGCAACGTGGGGGTGCAACAGCGGGTCAGCTCCGTCGTCTTGCCGCATCGCCGAGCCGAGGGCGGAAAGAGAAAGGGGGAACGCACGTGAAGCCGGCGGCGGCATAGCACGCGGCGGCGATGGCGCTGCAGGTGGACTGGCACGCTCCGTAGGCTGCTGGGCCGGCTTGGACAACCTGCGCGAGGACGAGGAGGGAGAGGGCGACGGCGAGGACGAGGTGGAGCATGGCGCGCTGCGGGCGGGCAAAGGGGGACGAGGGTGAGCTGCTGGACGACGCAAGGGACGAGGGTGAGGAGAGCGGTGTGCGCACCGACGAGAGAGGTAGCTGCGAGTGCGAGGAAGGAGAGAGAGAGAGAGAGAGAGAGAGAGAGAGAGGGAGAGCGCGGACAAGAGACAGGGCCCTCCCTCGGTGTCGACGAACCGCAGCAAGGCCGGCGCCGCGGGGGCTCGAGCGGCCGCATACGCTCACGCCCGAGCACACACAGCCTCTCACGAGGAGCTGGGGACGACAGACACACACAGAGAGAGAGAGCGCGCTCTCGAGCGGGACGACCTTCTCAAACGGCCGCGAGCGAACAAGGCATTCAGCCGATGACCTTGACCGTCTTGTCGAACCCGCAGCTGACGATCCTCCACCTCGTCGGCCGTCCCGCCGAGTCCTCCTCGTCGACGAGCACCTCGACGTCCCTCACGACCGAGCTCCCCCTGTCGGCCTCGCGCCTGAGCCTCGCCCTCTCGCTCCTCAGCTCGTCCCCCTCGCCCTCCCCCTCGCCCCCCTCGAGCGGCGCCGCGCTCCCATGTGCCCCTTGAAACACGCGCACGTTGCCACGCACGTCGACGACGCGCACGACGCCGTCCTCGCTGTTGACGACGGCGGCCGACCCATCGGGCAACCACGCGTGGCGCGGCGAAAAGTAGTCCGACTGTGCCGCGGTCGTGTGGATTGTCGCGAGCCGGGTCGACGAGTGGAACGGGTACAGGAGGAGCCGGGCCGAGGTGGTCGACGTTTGGAGCGAGAGGAGCGGGAGCGTCGGGTGGAGCGTGATCGAGAGGCTGGTGTGGGTGGGCGCGAGGGTCAGTGACGGGTTCGAGGGACACACAGAGAGGGAGAGAGAGAGTGTGTGGCGGGACGCACATCGAGAACGACACGAACGCATCGCCGTTCGGGTTCAAGTTGACGTACGACTCTGTCCACCCTCGCTCGTCGCCCTTGCCCTCTCGTCCAGACCCACCCGCAGCACCAGTCATGCGCAGGTAGTGCAGCCGGTGGTCCTCCCTCGCGGACCACACGAGCTCGCTGCCGTCGGGGAGCCACACGGCCGCCTCGGGGTTGGACCGCGTCGCGAGGCGGTGCACCTGCTCGAGCGCGACGTGGGGGCACGTCGCGAGCGGGTCGGGCGCCTCGCCGTCGAGGAGGGCGGGCGCGTCCGAGGATGCGGAGGAGGAGGAGGAGGAGGAGGAGGGCGAGGTGAGCGAGAGGCGGTAGACGGTGAGGAACTTGTCGTAGCCGAGCGTGGCGACGTGTCGGCCGTCGGGCGAGATGGCGACCTTGACGATGTACTGTGTCGCGAGAGGGGGTGCGTCAGTGAGGCTGTCTGCGCGCGTTCAGGCCCAGGAGGGAGGGAGGAAGAGCGAGGGGCGCACCTTCGTGTGATCCTTGACACGCGCCTTGACCTCCCTCGAGACGAGGTCGACGACGAGCAGGCTGCCCTCCATTGTCGCGCACAGGACGAACCGTCGGTGTTCGGGCACCGGGTGCTGCGCGAGCGACAGGCAGGGCGACGGGAGCGAGTACGAGTCGACGAGGGCGAACGTGGCCGAGTCGTGGACCGTGAGCGTGCGGTCGACGGCAGTCGTCAAGAGGCACGGCACGTCGTCGCTGTGGCCGCACGGCAGGACAGAGTCAGTCCCTGCGATGCACACCTCGAGGCAGGAGGAGGAGGACTGGCGCGGGACGTACGTGCGGAACCGCAGCTCGCTCGAGTCCCACTCGCGCCTCGGGACGACAGCGCGCGAGACGGTGAGCACGTTGCTCGTCTCCCTCCACGCCGTGCGCGCCGGCCCGACCGCCGCGCTGCTGCCACTCGCCTCGGCGTAGTACTCGAGCTGGTCGAGCTGGTCGCGCAGGGTCGCGGCCGAGTCGTGGACCCTGAGGCGCGCGAGACGGGCGGCGAGCCACTCGTCGACGACGTCCTGCAGGTCTTCGCCCGTGTCGGGTCGGCGCGGTCGGGCGAGGTGCGACTCGAGGCGCGGGTGGTTGTTGGCCGAGTCGGCGAGGAACGAGGCGAGGGTCGACTCGTAGCGGTGGTGACGGAGGAAGCGGGCGACGAGGCGGTGCGCTTCGAGGCTGGCGTCGCTCGCGGGTGCGTCTGTCGAGCTGCTCATGGGTGCGGGCAGAGGGAGGGAGGGCGAGCGTACGAGGTGGGGGCGGTGCTGGCCTCGCGCTCTCTCTCGAGACTGCTGCTTCGAGGGGTCGGACCCGCCCAATAGATGTTCATGCGTACGTATAGACAGCTCACAGCCCTGTACGAGGCGAGGACGAGGGTGTGGCGGTGCCCGGTCTCTCTCTCTGAGCTCGACTGTTCGCTCCTTGATCTCGACTCGCTCGCTCGCTCCAACCACCGCACCGCGCCTAGCACCGCACACTATGCCTCGCCAAGGACGCCAGCCAAAGCAGCTCCAGCAGCCCCAACGCGGCACACCAGCTTCCGCACCACCAGCTCCCTCCACCACCACCAAGCAGCCCAAGCCCGCGTCCCGCAAGGCCGCCGCCAAAGCCGCCCACAAGGCCGCCACCGCCGCCACTCCCGACACGAGCCTCGACGTCTACACCCACACCAACCGGGTACGCCGCGCCCGTGGCGACGTCGACCCGCTCGCGCGCGCCAGGTCGGGCCGTGCCGCCGCCGCAAAGGGCCGCAGCAGCGCCAAGGGCAAGGGTCGCGCCCAGCCCGCGAACGACGACGACGACGAGCTCGAGCTCGAGGGCGACGAGGAGGACGAGGAGGACGATGACGATGAGGACGAGGACGCGTCGGGTGGGTTCCGGGTCCGCGGCGACGAGGTCGTCGAGTTCACGGGGCTCAAGCCGGCCGGGTTCAAGCTCGGCATGGACTCGGACGAGGACGAGGCGCGGTTCGTCGCGAGCGACGACAGCGACGAGGACATTGACTCGGACCTCGCCGACGAGGAGGACGACGACGAGGGTCCGCTCGCCGGGCCGAGCAAGGGCCGCGCGGCGAGGGGCGGCAACAAGAAGGCGGCGGCGCGGCAGGACAAGGAGGTCGACCTCGACGAGGACGAGATCGACTACGACGACGAGGAGGGCGAGGGGTGGATGGACTTGACCGAGATGCTCGATGCCGGCGGGTACGCGTCCCAGGGCGACGACGACGACGAGTCGCAGTCGGGCTCGGACGCCGAGGAGGAGGACGAGGACGAGGACATGTCGTCGGCGGCCGACGACGACGACGACGACGACGACGAGGCGGGCGCGCTCGACAAGCTCGACTCGTTCGTCGAGGGCCTCGACTCGAAGAAGCGCAAGGCGCGCGGCGACGGCGGCGACGACGACGGCGACGACGGCAACAAGAAGAAGAAGCGCGTCGTCCTCGCCGAGCGCACCGAGGCCTACCCCGAGGGCGAGTTTGTCGCCGTCAAGAACGACAACGGTGCGTCTTCCTCTCTCTCTCTCTCTCATTCTCTCTCGGCCGTCGGCCGTCGGCGTCTCGGTCACTTACTCGTCTTGCGCCCCCGACGACAGGCAAGGTCGACCTCGACGACCTCCTCGCGTCCTTCACCGACTCGAAGAACCCGCGCCTCGCCGGCCTCAAGAAGTCGCTCAAGACGCTCGCGCCCTCGTCCTCGTCCGCCACCGCAGCCGCCGCCGCCGCCGCCAAGGTGACGACGACCAACTCGCACCTCAAGGGTTCGGGCCCGCTCGCCGCACCTCTGCCCGGTCGCCTGCAGGACAAGGTCGACCGCGAGGCGGCGTACGACCAGACCAAGGACGAGACGGACAAGTGGAACGAGACGGTGCGGCGCATGAAGGGCCAGAGCGGGCTCGGCGCCGAGGGCGCCCGCCACGAGCGCTTGACGCTCCCGCTCATGGGCGGCGAGGGCGACGTGCGGCGGGACCCGAACGCGCAAGAGTGGAGCGCCAAGTTCCAGGTGCGTCCCTCCTCTCTCTCGCTCTCTCTTTCTCTCTCCCCCTCTCCTGCCTCGAGCCTCACCTCACGCGTCTGCCGCGCTCGCAGCCGACCAATGACCTCGAGGCGTCGGTCCAGTCGCTCCTCTCGACGGCGCAGATGTCGCAGGCCGACCTGCAGCAGCAGGAGAAGGCGGCGCTCGCGACCCTCGACCCGGCCGACCTCGCCGCTCGTCAAGCCGACCTGCGCCGCCAGCGCGACCTCATGTACCGCGCCGAGCGCAAGGCCAAGCGCGTCGCCAAGATCAAGAGCAAGGCGTACCGGCGCATCCACCGCAAGCAGCGCGAGCGCGACGGTGCCGGCGGCGGCGCCCACCTGTCGCTCGCCGACCTCGCCGAGCTCGACGCGATCGACGGCGGTTCGCGCGTCGACGAGGAGCGCACGCGCCTCGAGCTGCAGCGCGCAAAGGAGCGCGTCACGCTCAAGCACTCGGGCAAGGGCGGCAGGTGGGCGCGCAAGGTGGACGGGCTCGACGGCCTCGACGAGGAGCGCAACGCGGCCATCCGCGACATGGTGACACGCCGCGACGAGCTGCGCAAGAAGATTGCCGGCGTCGGCAGCGGCGACGACGAGCGCGACGAGTTTGCGTCGTCGGACGAGGACGAGGACGATGACTCGATGGCGTCGGGCGGCGAGGGCGAGGGCGACGATGTCGAGGCGGTGCGGCGGCGCGCGTTCGACGAGCTCGCGGCGCTCGACGCCAAGGAGGCGGCGCTCAAGGCGGGCGACCCCAAGCTCAAGGGCGTCATGAACATGAAGTTTATGCGCGACGCCATGAGCCGCGCCGACCGCGACGTGCAGCGCGAGGAGGACGAGCTGCGGCAGCGCCTTGAGCAGCTCGACGATATGCGCGACGGAGCGGCGAACGGCGGCGGCGAGGAGGAGGACGAGGACGAGGGTGGTGGGGCGGCGCCCGTCTCGATGTCGGAGCAGGTCGACGGCAACCTCGGGCGCATGGTGTTCGGCCCGACGAGTGCTGCCGCCAAGGTGCGTCCTCTCTTTCTCTCTCTCTCTCTTGCTCAGTCGGAGCGCTCTCGCGAGGGACACGAACTTACACCCGCTCGCGCGCCGAAACAGCTCGCCTCGGCTCAGCCCGCCACCGCCAGCTCGTCTTCCACCTCGGGCCCGACGCTCAGCTCCGCCACGACGACCAAGCTCTCGGGCCCCGTCACCGTCGGCTCCACCACGACCACCTCGCGCACCGCCCGCGTCCGCCCTTCCCTGTCCAATCCCGGCGCCTCCTCTACCGCCGCCGCCGACGACGACGACGCCGCCGAGTCGAACCCGTGGCTCGCGCTCGCCTCGGCCGACAGCGGCGCCGTCCTGTCGCGCAAGCTCAACAAAGCCGGGCACGGTAAGGACCACTCGAGCCTCGCCAAGTCGACGGCCAAGGCGGACCGTGCGCGCGCCAAGCAGGCCGACGCGCGCGAGGCCGAGCGCGACGACGCCCGGGTCGAGCTCGACCTCGGCGCCGAGGCGGCGCTCGCTGCGAGTGCGGGTGCCGGTCGTGCGGGAACGGGAGGGAAGAGGGGCAAGCAGGCGGCGAGGAAGGGCGACCGGCCGCAGGTCGGCGGGGCGCTCGCGGTGCCGGCGCAGCGCATGGACGGCGACGCGACCGACTCGAGCGACGAGGAGCTCGACGAGGAGGAGATGCAGGCGCAGAGGGGCAAAGGGCCGGCGGCGTTCCGCCAGCGCGAGCTCGTCAAGGAGGCGTTCGCCAACGATGACGTGGTCGCTGTGCGTCCCTCCTCTCTTCCTCCCTCCCTCCCTCTCTCCTTCCCTCGAGCGCCTCTGACGACGCCTCCTTGTGCAGGACTTTGCCGAGGAGAAGCGCAAGGAGATTGAGCGAGACGCGCCGCGCGAGGAGGACAACACGCTCCCGGGCTGGGTGCGTCCCTCTCTCCCTCTCTCACTCTCTTTGCCCCCCTCTCGCGTCGACTAACCCTCTGTCGCGTGTTCCTGCAGGGCGCATGGGCGGGCAAGGGCGCCAAGAAGCAGAAGAACGCGCGCAAGTTTGTCACCAAGGTTGCCGGCGTCGACGCGGCCAAGCGCAAGGACGCCCAGCTCGGCCACGTCATCATCAGCGAGAAGAAGGACAAGAAGGTGGCCAAGTACATGCTCAAGGACCTGCCGTTCCCGTACACGAGCGCGGCGCAGCACGAGCACAAGTTGGCGACGCCGCTCGGGCCCGAGTGGTCCACCTCGACGGTGCGTCACCCCCTCCTCTCTCCCGTCCCCTTGTCCCTATCGCTCCAGGAGTCGCCTGTCGCGCTCTGATTGTGCCCTGGGTACGGTCGAGCGCGATCTGCACGGCGGCGAGGGGAGCCGTCGGCAGGAGCAGCAGGAGATGGTGCCTCGCTCGAGCCGATGACGCCCGTGCTGATCCCTCTCTCTCTTCCCTCTCCCTCCCTTGCAGATCCTCCGCGACCAGACGATTCCGGCCGTCTTGGTCAAGCCGGGCGTCACGATCCGCCCCGTCGACCGCAAGATCTAGCCGCACTTGCAACTGAGCTCCCTCTCGTGCACGGTCCCCCTTTCTCTCTCTCTCTCGCCCGCGCACTGCCCCAGAGAGAGTCAGACCACCTTCTCGAGCGAGCGAGCGCGCGTGGAAGCCGGCCCGCGTCCGGGGCATCTTCCCGGGCGAGCGCTCGCGACGATCCGCGAGGCTGCCTTCCGTTGCGAGCGCGTCGGCTTCGGACCGCGTGCGTCTTCTCGCGCGCGGAATGCGTCCGCGTCCGAGAGCGCTCGACGAGAGCGTGAGGAAAAAAGCTGCGAGCGAGCCCGAGAGCAAGCAGGAGGACGAGGTCAAAGCGCCACTCTCCGTGGACGGCGGCCGCGTGCCTCTCGCGATGGGGAGCGGGTTCAAGCTTCAAGGGCGCCCTGGCGCGGATATTAAACGCACGCCGGGTAGGTTGACTAACCTTGGGCTATCAGGGGCGACGGGCGCGATCTCGGGCGAGAGAGGGCGAGCTGCCACTGTCGAAAGCAAGAGCTGCACCTCGTCGAGCCAAGCTGACAAGCTTGCTCTCGAGCGCAACGAAGATCTGCGAGTACTTCGCTCGACTCGGCGAGCGACGAATGAGGCACTGAACGAGGGCGGGCAAACGCGCAGGTGTGGCACCGCTCAGGCCCGCGAGACGAGAGGTGCTCAACTGTGGGTGCAAGCCGGGTCGGGCTTCGGAACCCGAGCGAGAGCGACACCTGGATCGCCAGAGGGAGGACGAGCTCGAAGCGGAGGACCGGCGAGAGTCGAACGCGAGAGGAACGGAGGAAGCGAGGATCAGAGCGAGGAGGGTCCGAGCGAGGCGAGGTTCGGACGAGCGAACCACGTCGCACCGCGGCGCGGCCGCCGCTCGATCGCCCCGCCCCGCGCTCATTCGCAGGTGGAGCGTACGGCGACCGCGCAGTTTGAAGCTTTCCTCGCTCGTTTTCGGTCAGAGCGTTGTCGTCGTCGTCGTCGTCCCTGATCTGCCGCTCGCTGCCGCCGCCGCGCTGAGCAAGCGCTTTGACACAGTGCACCACACGCACCTGCAGCCGATCCACCTTCGGTTGCCTCCTCCCCCGCCCTCGTCGGTTCGGAAGAACAAGCGTGAGAGATCGCCACCGTCTCGTCCTCCTTCTCTCTCGGCCATTCAACCCGACTCGTCCTTCCGCCACACCCCTTTCCTCGCCGTCGTCCCCAGCAGCAGCAGCGCGCGCACATACACGAGCAGCCGCAGCAGCACACGACCCACCCTCTCTACCGGCACCCGCGCGCTCGGCCGCCCCGTCGTCGTCGTCCGACCTTCCTCAAGTTGTCCGCCGCGACCCTGTCGCCTCACGCCCCTCCCGCCGCCGCGCCGGGCTGGCGTCATGCGCCCATGACGAGTGCGGCAGCCACGGTGCGGGTCAAGCCCATCGAGCGCGTCGTCGTCGAGCCCGCGAGAGCCGGCGACGAGTCGGCCGACGATCTGCCCTTGCCGCCTCGGCTTCCGTCCATCTCTGCGCTCCTCAACGAGACCGGGACCCAGTCGCCAGGTGCGTCCCGAGCCCCCTTCCTCTCTCTCTCTCTATCCCTGTGTCCCCCGACGACGACGACGACGAAACGCGAAGCCGGATTCGAATTCGAGCTGACGCCCGTCGCCTTGGCTCGCCTTCGCGCGCGCGCCCACACAGACTCGGCTCCACCACCACCGCCACAAGGAGGAGGCCCGTCGAGCGTGTTCCCGCCGTACAGCGTCTTTGACCCGCAAGCCCCGTCGACCTACCGCCACGACGTTGCGCCCACAGCTCCCGACGCTGCCCCCTCGCCTTCCTCCTCCACCCCCGCCCTCCCTCCACCGCCTCACTACCCGCCCGTCGCCTCGGCACATCCCGACACGGCCACCCAGGCCGGCATCGCCTTCTCGCAGTCGCGCCCCATGGCCCGTCCGCCCTCGCCGCCGCCCCGCCAGCTCACCTCGCTCGAGTTCCCCGACGGCAACGCCCTCCACCCGCTCCCGTCGGGCCTCCTCGCGACCAACGGCGGCCGGCGCCGCGCCACGTCGGCCTCGGTCCTCCCCCTGTTCGAGGCGGCGACGCCGTACGGCCGCCTGCCGGGCTTTGCGACGAGCTCGGAGCGAGGCGGCGCAGGCGGCGGCGCGGGAGATGGGCCGCCCGACGCGCGAGATCAGCAGCAGCAGCAGCACCTGTCGCAGCCGCATGCGCAGCCGTCGCACCAGCAGGACAGCCCGGCGTCGCGCCTCGAGGCCCTGAGGCCGCGCGCGTTCTCGACCCCGACGCGCGAGGAGTACCGCGCGCACGTCGGGTGGGCCACAGCGCTCCCTCCTGTGCCCGCTCGTGCGCCGCTCCACTTTGCGGCGCGCCCCGACCAGGCCGTCGAGCAGCAGCAGCACCAGCAGCAGCATCTTGAGCACCAGCTCCCGCTCCCGCACCCGCACCCGCATCAGCAGCACGCGCCCGATCCCGCCTATCCACCGATGCCGCCCTACCCGTACTACCCGGGCGTGCACGGCCCGCCAAGCCACGTCCACACCGCGCAGCACCTCCCGCCCGACAGCTGGACGCCCCATCACCTCGCGCTCCCCTACCCGCCGCCTCCGCACCACCCGCAGCAGCAGCAGCAGCAGCAGGCGCCGCCGTCTCTCCCGACCCCGCCAGGCCACGAGCAGCCGCACCAGCACCAGCACCAGCAGTCGCTCCCAATGCCTTCGGGCCTCGCCGCGCAAGGGCCGGCCTCGCCACCGCTCCCGTCGGGCGTTCAGCAGCAGCCGCAGCAGCAATTGGCGGTCCAGTACTCGACGCACGCGACGGGCCTCCCCGGCCAGTCGGCGTGGCTCCCGCAGCCGCCGCCGTCGCTCGTCGCCTCGGCTGGCGCTGCCGCCGCCGCCGCCGCCGGCGAGTCACCGCAGGATGCCGGGCGGTACGGCTGCCCGCATTGCCGTGCGTCGCCCCCCCCTCTCTCTCTCTCGGGAAGGCGCATCACTGACACGCCCCCTCGCCCCTCGTCGCCCGTCGTGCAGCGAAACGCTTTGCGCGCCCGTCGTCGCTCCGGATCCACATGCACTCGCACACGGGCGAGAAGCCGTTCACGTGTCCGATGTGCGACCGCGCCTTCTCGGTCCAGGTGCGTCCCTTTCTCTCCCTCCCTCTCTCTCCCTTGCTCCGAGTCGCACGTCCTCACCAAGCTCACCCTCGTCCCGCCGTGCACGCAGTCCAACCTCCGCCGCCACCTCAAGATCCACAAGGGCGGCAGCGCGACGACGCCGACCGCGTCGAGCCCGACGCCGCGCAGCCTGCCGCGCCTCGCGACCGACCGTGCGACGCTCGGTGACGCGGCGGCGACGGCCGACGACGGCGCGGGCATGTCGGGCAGCACGGCGTCGCGGCCTTCGAGCGGCTCGGCGGGCGGGCTTGGCGCGACGGGGACGGACGCCGAGGGTGAGGGTGAGGCGGAGCGCGACGATGCGGCGATACTCGAGGAGGACGAGGGGCAGGGCGAGGGCGAGGACGGGGACGTCGTCATGCGCGACGAGGAGCGGCGGCATGGCTCGGCGGCGGCGGCAGCGGCGGCGGCGGCCAAGGGCGACGAGCTGCGCGGCGGTGGGGAGGCGCCGCCGCTCGTCAGGACGGCGTGGCCTCGCGCGAGGGAGCGCGCCGACTGAGCCGAGCCGAGATGGCCGTCGTCGTCATCGTTGAGCGTCCGACGCTCGAGCCTCCTTTTTTCTCCTCTCCTTTCCTCTCCTCTCCTCACCCCTCCTCTCCCCCCTCCTCCCTTCCCGCATACCCATACTATGACCTCGGGCGATTTGCCGACCCGCACATCTCCCCACCTGTACATGCCCTGCGCCCATCCCCTCCTCCCTTCCTCCCTCGCGAGCCACTTGTTGTTCTCCACCCCCTCTTGCTTGCACCCCTTCCCCGCGCTCTCCCTCCTCGCGACTTGCTACCCACCTTGCTCTCCTCACTCTGTGACCTACATGCCGGTCGTCTAGCACCTCTCGATCGTCGCGCCTGCAACCTCGTTCAACGACTCGGGCATCTGTCGGCGGCGGGACGTCTTTCCGTGAGACGTTGCGAGAGAGTCAAGAGTTGCAGTGCTCGGGGCTACAGATGCCTCGTCTTGTTGCGACTCGCGCTCCTCGCCGGCTTGCGCATCCGGCTGCGCCCGCTGCCCTCCTCGCCCTCGAGCTCGCGCTGCTCGTCCTCGGCCTCCTGCGCCCCCTCTCGCCGCTCGAGCCCGGCCGCGAACCGCTTCTTGTCGCCCTTGAGCTTGTCGCGCTTGTCGGCCAGGGCCCGCTTCTTGTCGTCCGTCGCCGACTGGCCCGCCGCCGACGACGACGACGACGCCGCCGACGGGATGAACGACATCTCCATGCCGCCCCCCGCCGAGCCCCGGATGATGTCGCCCGACGCCGCCGCACCGCCCTCGTCGTCGTCGCCCGCTGCTGCGCCTCGTCGGCGCTTGCTCGCGCCACCCGCCGCCGCCTCGCGCGTGCGCTGCGCGAACGACTGCGTCGCACGCTCGGCCGTCGACGCGAGGGGTCGAGAGCGCGCCGACGACAGCGTGTCGTCGTCCGAGTCGTCGGCGGCGACGAGTGCGGGGCGCGAGCGGGCGAGAGCGGCGGCGGCGGAAGAGGTGGAGGTGGAGGGAGGTCGGGTCGCCTTTGCGGGCCGTTTTGGCGGCTCGATCGGGCGCCGCTGGTAGTCGAAGCCGAGCTCTGCGAGAAAAGAGCTGAGTCAGTCAAGGTCTCGCGCCAGGGAGAGCAAGAGGAAAGGAAAGAGAGAGAGGGGGAGACGCACCGCCCTCTGCGCTGCTGTCCGAGTTGGACGCCTCCTCGTCCTCGTCCTGCTCGTCCTGCTCGTCGTCGTCGTCGTCGTCGTCGTCCGACGCCTGGTGCTGCCGCGGCTTGGTCGACGGGTTGAGCAGCTGGAACTCGCGCGACTCCTCGTCGATCTCGAAATCGGGGTTGGTGAACAGGTCGCCGAACCGGTCGTCCTTGAGCAGGCTCGGCGCGTCGGCGCCGCCCGCCGCCGCCGCGTTCTTCTTCTTGCGGCGCTTGGTGCCCTCGTCGTCGTCCGACAACTCGCCCGCCTCGCGCTTGCGCTGGCGCTCTTCCTCGGTGCGCAGCTTCTTGGCGAGCGCCTTGTTTACCTTGACGCCGCTGCCGGCCGACTGCGAGCCGGCCGCCTTCTTGGCGCCGCGGATGCGCGACTCTTGCTCGGCGGCGAGCTTGTCGCGCACGAGCTGGTCGCGGTGCTCGGCGTACTGGAACGGGTTGGCGATCGCGCGCGCCTTGGTGTACAGGCGCAGGTCGACAAAGTAGCCGTGCATGTAGGGCTTGAGCGTGTCGGTACCGATGAGGTGCGTCAAGTTGAGGCTGCGAAGGGGATACAGACACGGTGAGTCGAGGCTCCTCCTGAACCCGAGAGAAGGAGAGAGAGGGGGGCAAGGACGCACTCGTCGAGCTCGGCGCGGTCGACAAACTTGTAGTCGTCGTAGATGGTCGTCACCTGGTCGTCCTCCATCTCCTCGGTCATGTTGTCGAGGAACCGGCACCACTTTGGCGCGGGCCCGAGCTGCGGCACGTAGTAGCCCGTCATGGGAGACGTCTCGTTGGCGAGGAAAACGAGGCCCGTGCCCGGGTAGATGTGCAGGTCGTTGATCGGCATCGGCGGGTTGATGGCGACGAGGTTGGTGCCCTGCAGTCGAGTCAAAGGAAAAGGGTCAATCCCGGCGTCCGACGACTTGACCGACCGAGAGAGAGACGAGAAGGGACGCACCGTGTCCTTGCCCCAGATCTTGACGACCTTCTCGTCGGCGCTCGCGACCCAGCCACCCTCGCGGTCGGCGTCGCTGCTCGTCGCGGGCGAGCTCTCGACCCACTCGACCTTCTTGACGGGGAGGCCGTACCCTTGGTCCTTGGTCGTGTACGGCTTGTTGGCGCGCAGGTCGTACAGGAGGATGTGGCCGGTCGACGTCCCGACGGCGAGGTTGAGCCCGTCGTTGCGGTTCGCGAGCGCCGTGACGGCGACGCCGCCCGTGCTCGAGTCGTCGTCGACGCCGGGCAGGCGCGGGTGCTGCAGCGTCGCGCTCGACATGCTCGACTGGGCGAGCGACGCGTACGGGAGGCGCAGGATGCCGGCCCGGGACCGGCTGCGCGGGTCCCACATCTCGACCGTGCCGCGGCCGTGGCGCGTCTCGGTGCCGAAGCACAGGAGCTGGTGCGCCGGGTTGATGTCGATCACGTTGACGCCCGTCACGGCGTCGCCCGTCGCGCCCGATCCGGGCACGCCGCCGCCCTCGCCGCCGTCGTACTCGGGCGCGCCCTCGAGCCCAAAGGGCTTCATGAAGCGGCCGACCTCGAGGTTGAGGCGCCACACCTCGGTGCCGAGGCCGCCGACGAGGGCGTCGCACGTCGGAAAGTTGTACGCGAGCGTGCGGCCTTGGCGAGGCATGCGGACGCGGTAGTGCGACGACGACTGGGTGTGGAGCTCGAGCGAGCGGTCCGACTGAAGGTGGAGCGTCTTGGTCCAGTCCGACGACAGGATCTGCGGGTGCGGCGCGCTCGAGTCAGGGAGGGCCCGGTCTTTCGTGCGCACAGAGTGGAGGGACGCACAGCAAAGTCGACGTTCTCGCTGTCGGTGACGCGCTCCATCTTCATGCTGAGCTCCTCGAGGTCAAAGACCTTCATGCGCGGCTTGTACGTGCCCGTCGCGAGGAGGTACCGCCCGTCCCTCGTCGTCTTGAGCTTGTTGCTCGCCTCGGGAAAGTCAAAGTCCTGTTCAGGCGAGGAGGGGAGGAGGGTCAGCACCGCCCGCCTCGAGAGGAGAGCCGGCACTCTCGCCGTCGTTCCTCGCCGCACGACCAAGAGAACCAAGGGAAGGGAGGGGGGCGCACCTGGATGAGCCGAATCTCGCCCTCGCCGCCCGTGCCACCCTGGCCGCCCTTCTTGCGGCGCTTGTTCTTGTCCGAGAGCTTGGCCTCGAGCCAGGCGGCCGCGTTCTTGCTCGACAGGCCGCCGCCGTTGACGCAGTAGATCTTGGCTGCGCCGCCGGTCGAGGCGAGAGAGACGACCATGGCTCGTGCGCGTGGTGGCGAGAGAGGGAGCCGTTGAGCGAGATGAGATGAGGCGGACGAGGCGAGGTCGAGCTCGCGCTCCGGAGTCCGCGGCGCAGGACTCACTCTCTCGCTCGCTGCCAGAGCCAGAGAAGTGTGCATGCGCAGACAGTCTTGATAATTACAACAAGCAAGCAGGGGTTCTACGCGCCCTCCCTCTTCGTCGCTCGATTCGGCGTCGACGTCGACGTCGGCGCCGCTCAGACTCACTCGGCCACGTCAAAGTCGCCCTGGTCCATCTGCGCATACAAGCAAGGTTGTGTCAGATCAAGCCGCTCGCGTGCCTAGACGGCTCGACGAGGCGCAGCGCTCGGCGAGGCCATCGTGAGGAGGAAGAGAGACCGCGCTCCGACTCACGTCCGCCGGCTCCTTTGGCTCCTCGTGCTCGCCGTACTGGATCGCGTTGTCGAGGTGGCTCAGGACGACGCCGACCGAGTCCTCGTCCGTCACGTCGAGCGGGAGGAACTGCACCATGTTGAAGTCGTCGATCTGTATTGCGACGAGGGAGGGAGGGAGGGGCCGCTTGTCAGGGATGCTCGGGGCCATGCAGGGCCGAGAGAGAGAGAGAGAGGAGAGAAAGGTGGACGTACGAGGTGCACGAGGGCGCTGTTGAGCTGGTGGAACTTGGGGTTGAGCTCCTGGTTGACCGACGTACGCAGCAGCTCGGGATCCGGGTCGAGGAACCTGTGCGAGGGACGGCGTCAGTTCCACTTCTACACCTTCCACGCGGACGCAAGACGACAGGAGAACTATCGTCGGACGTCGACGAGGCAGTGGGGGGAACGAGCGCGACGCACCGGTCGACCTCCTTTTTCCGCTTGCCCTCGCGCCTGACGAGGTCCATCTTGCTCATGACGTTGACGAACGGCACCTCGAGCCCGATCATGCAGCTCATGGCCGACAGGACGCCGGCAAAGTACTTGGACGTGTCCTCCATGAACTGCGACTCGAGGAGGTAGCACGCGACGAGGCTGATGTTCATCGTCGACGTGAGGAGTTTGGCGAGGCGGGGCAGGATCGGGATGTGCGTGTAGAGCTCGATCTGGCCTGGGCAGTCGATGATGAGCTGCGCGGCGGGAGTCGGGGAGAGGAATGACGGTCAGCGAGGGTGTCCGCATGGGCTTGCGGCGAGAAAGAAAGAGGGGACGAGTCGAGACGCACGTAGTCGTCCTCAAAGTCGCCGAGCGCGTCCGACAGCCAGTCGAGGTTCTGCATGAGGTACCTGTTGTTGTGTCGAGGAAGAGAGTCAGAAAGGAGGAACTGGCCCGAGAGGGGAGAGGGACAGAGGGACGCACTCGAAGCAGTAGATGAGGCCGCCGTTGGGCCCGAGCTGGAGCTCGTCCATGACGTCCTCGAGGCTGACGAGGTCCTTGATGTCGATCGAGGGCGGATACTCGAACTTGTCGGCCGCCGGGTCGAGGTTGAACAGGTGCACGGTGCGGCCGAGCGACTGGGCGTGCGTGATGAGCGACGCGCAGAAGGTCGACTTGCCTGCGCCGGCGGGGCCCGTCACGAGGACGGCGTCTGTTTCGTGTGGGGTCTGTGTGTGAGCTTGTGTGCGCGCTGTCGTGACCAAGGGAGAGGACGGACAGCGCATGGTGGCTCCGAGAGATGAGGAGCGGCCGTGCGAGGTGTGCAAGATGGATCGCGCTCGGGGCTGGACAAAGGTGGCAGCGGGGGCCGAGTGCACGAGTCCAGAGTCGGAGCTGTGGGCTCTAGCAGTGTGCGAGCAGAGTGTGAGCAGCTGAGACGAGCCGACAGCATCTGCTTGCTCCTCGTCGAGCTGGTTCGCTCTCCGTCACCGCGTCGACCCCGCGCTGGTCCTGCTTGCTCAAGCTCGAACTACTCTCCAGCACCGACACTCCCCGCACAGCCCGCAACCATGGTACGCCGTGCCGTCCTCACCTCGCCCTCTCGTCCCTCCACCGCCCCCCTCCTCCTCCAAGCTCACTCGCCGCGAACATCACGCGCTAACCCCTCTGCCCGGCCCGCCTGCAGAAGATCAAGACGATGCACCGCAGCCTCGAGGAGCACCTCCCGACCTCGTCGACCGCCACCGCCCCGGTCAAGCGCAACCTCGACCCGGCCCTGCACCCGTTCGCCCGCTCGCGCGAGTACACGCGCGCCGTCACGGCCGCCAAGCTCGACCGCATGTTTGCCAAGCCCTTTGTCGCCTCGCTCGAGGGCCACCAGGACGGCATCTACACCATGACCAAGGACGAGGCCGGCGGGCTCGGCCGCGTCGCGAGCGGCAGCGGCGACGGCGAGGTGCGCGTGTGGGACCTCGGCGGCCAGCGCACCGTGTGGAACGTCGAGAACGCGCACCGCGGCATGGTCAAGGGCGTCGCCTTTTCGCACCCGATGGTCGGCGAGGACGGCCGCGTCGAGAAGAAGGTCGGCGCCGGCGAGCGCGGCGTAAAGCGCAAGCGCGCCGACGTCGGGTTCAAGGGCAAAGGTCGCGCAGGGCTCGAGGACGACCTCGACGACGACGAGTACGACGACGGCGTCGACCAGCTCGACGAGACGCAGGCGCGCGGCTCGTCGCGCGTCCTCAGTTGCGGCGCCGACAAGACGGTCAAGCTGTGGGACGTCAAGGGCCCGTCTGGCCGCAACGCTCGAGTGCGTCTCATCTTTCTCTCCTTTCTCTCCTGCGCACCGAGCGAGAACCCCGTCCTGACCTCGCCTCCGTGCCCGCCGCAGCCTCTCCAAACCTTCAACGGCAAATCCGGCTTCAAGTGCGCCCTCATCTCTCTCTCTCTGTATCCCTGTGAGTATCGTCTCGGCGGCCCTGACACACCTTTCCCCTCGACAGCGCGATCTCGCACCACCGCTACGACCCGATCTTTGCGACGGGCTCGACCGAGATCGAGATCTGGGACGAGACCAAGACGGCGCCGCTGTCGACGCTCAAGTTCCACTCGACGTCCAACGCGAGCCTCGGTGAGCACATTCAGTGCGTCGCGTTCAACAAGAGCGAGACGAGCGTGCTCGCGAGCAGCGGGAGCGACCGCACCGTGTGCCTGTACGACTTGAGGAGCGGCAAGGCGCTCAGTCGGGTCGCCATGCAGGTGCGTCCCGGCCCCCTCTCTTCCCTGCGCATGTCCCGTACTGCCGTCGTGCAGCGCGAGCGTGCGCTGTGATGAGAAGCGGCGGGAACTCACGCCGACCCTCGTCCGCCCGCAGATGCGCGTCAACTCGCTCGCGTTCAACCCGCTGCAGCCGCCCGTGCTCCTGTGCGCCTCCGAGGACCACAACTTGTACACGTTCGACATGCGCAACCTGAGCACGACGACGCAGGTCTTCAAAGGTCACGTCGGCGCGTGCGTCCCCCTTTCGCTCTCTCTCAAGCCGTGGTGCCTCTCTCGCCGAGTCGCGGTCCCTGACAAGGCCTCGATGCGGACAGGGTCATGTCGTGCGACTGGTCGCCGACCGGTCGCGAGTTTGTCTCGGGCTCATACGACCGTACGGTCCGCCTGTGGGAGCAGGGCGAGGGCAAGAGTCGCGACACGTACCACACCAAGCGCATGCAGCGGTGCGTCCCGCTCTCCCCTCTCTCTGTCCTCGTCCTCTCTCACTCTGTGCGGGAGCGCTGACTCGTTGCGGACGTCGTCGTCGCAGCATCTTCTCGACCCTGTACACGCTCGACTCGCGCTTTGTCCTGTCCGGGTCGGACGACGCCAACCTGCGCATCTGGAAGGCGCGCGCGAGCGACAAGCTCGGCGTCGTCGACAAGCGCGAGCAGGTGCAGCGCGAGTACCGCGACGGCCTCAGGGAGAAGTGGGGGACCGTCGCCGACGTGGCAAAGATCGAGCGGTGCGTCCTGCGGCTCTCTCTTTCTCTCTCTGTCTGCGTGCCTCGATTCCCTTCTCGCTCGTGCTCTCTCTCATGAGCGCGATGAGCGCGAGCGGGAGGGCTGCCACGACGTGCAGGATGAGAGACTGACTCGCCCTTGCACCCTGCCCCTCTCCCCTTCCTCTTCCTCCCCTCACGCACCCACAGGACGCGCTACCTCCCCAAGCCGATCCACCAGGCGACCAAGCTCAAGCGCGAGATGCTCGACGCGCGCCGCACCAAGGAGGAGAACCGTCTGCGCCACGCGCCAAAGGGCGTCGACCAGGAGCTCCTCAAGCCCAAGCCGGCGCGCAAGGCGCCCATCGCCCAGGTCGAGCAGTGAGCGGGTGTGGCAGGAGCCTCGGTCGGTCGGTGGACGGTATACTGCGCAGTGTGCTGGAATGCGAGACGGTGCTCGCGACGTCGAGAGCGGGGGTCGAGCGGCGAATTTTCCAGAGAGGCGGGTCGCGGCTTGGCGAAGCGCCGGTGCGGCTCGAGGCTCGACGATGCGGGCTCTGGTGTCGGCGAGCGTACGGCTTTCGGTGCGCGCTTGACGAGCGAGGCTCGAGCCGGTCGAGCGGAGCTTTTGAAGGTCGGCCGGCACCCGGCGCCGACGGGCGATCGAACTTCGGCACGCGTGCGGGGCGGGCAATTGAACGGGCTCCACCTTCTCTCGCTCTCTCTCTCGTCCTTGCTTCCTCACACACGCTCTCGCCATGGCCTCGTCGAGCGACTACGACGTCGTCATTGTCGGCGCCGGCCCCGCCGGCCTCATGCTCGCTCTCTGGCTCGCACGCCTCAAGATCCGCACCAAGATCGTCGACAAGCGCAGCGTCAAGGTCCTCGCCGGCCAAGCAGACGGCGTGCAGGTGCGTCTCTACACACCCTAATCGATGGGGAACAGAGCGGGCGAACTGACCCGCTCGGACCCTGCAGTGCCGCACGCTCGAGGTCGCCCACTCGTTCGGGTTCGTGCAACGGCTCATCGAGGAGGGTACGCTCGCCTGCTATCTCTTCTTCCCTGCACGACGAGACCTGACGTTTGCTTCGAGGGCAGGCGCGCACATCAACGAGATTTGCAACTGGACGCCGGCGGCCGACGGTGGGCTCGAGAGGACGAAGCGCATGCCCGACGTGTGTCCTGCGTCCTCCTCACGCTTCACCCCTCTCGAGGACCCCTCACTGACTCTTTGAGACGACGCTCGCAGAACGAGCCGGGCACGAGCCGTTTCCCGCACGTTGTCTTGACCCAGGGTCGGATCGAGCGCTTCCTCCTCGACGCCATGCGCGACTTCAACGGCCTCGGCGTCGACCGAGCCGTCGCCCCGACCAACATGACCGTCGACCCTGCCCTCTTGACCGATTTTTCGCCCTCATCGTACCCCGTCACGCTCAAGCTCCGCCACCTGAGCGAGGACGAGGCGACCCCGACCCAGGTCGGCATCGCCAACGGGCTTCACCGCAGCAACGTCCTGAGCGACGACGAGGCCGACGCGATGCACGGCACGAGGGAGGGTGGAGCGTACGCGCTCGCCGGCGAGGAGGAGACGGTGCGCGCCAAGTTCGTCGTCGGGGCGGACGGCGCGAGGAGCTGGGTCCGCAAGTGCGTCCTCTCTCTCTCTCTCTTGCTCCTCGCGCCGACGAGCCATAATCCTCGTTCTCGTACTGACATTCTCGCCGGCCCACAGGCAGCTCGGCCTGTCGCTCGAGGGCGAGTCGGCCAACTCGCTGTGGGGCGTTCTCGACGCCGTCGTCGTCACCGACTTTCCCGACATCCGCCTCAAGTCGTCTGTCCAGAGCCATGGCGCCGGCTCGATCCTCGTCGTCCCCCGCGAGAACGATCTCGTGCGCTTCTACGTCCAGATGGGCTCGACCGACCCGAACGGCGAGCGCTTTGACCGCTCGTCGATCTCGCCCGAGTCGATCGTCGAGACGGCGCAGCGCATCTTCCAGCCGTTCAAGCTCGACATCAAGCACATCGACTGGTGGACCCTGTACGAGGTCGGGCAGCGCATGAGCCCGCAGGTCACGCTCGACAACCGCGTCTTCCTCGCCGGCGACGCCTTTCACACGCACTCGCCCAAGGCCGGGCAGGGTATGAACACGAGCATGATGGACAGCTTCTCGCTCGGCTGGAAGATCGCGCACGTCGTCCAGGGCAAGGCGTCGCCGGCCATTCTCGAAACTTACGGCGTACGTCTCGCCCTTTTCTCCTGCGCCCTCTCTTCCTCTCTCGAGCACCGACCCTGACTCGCCGCCCACACAGCTCGAGCGGCTCAAGGTTGCCAGAGAGCTCCTCGACTTTGACTACAAGCTCTCGCGCATGTTTGCGGGCAAGCCCATCACGAGCGACGGGGTGCGTCTTGCAGCTCTCGTCTCGCGCTCTCTACGACGTGTCCGACTGACACCCTCGCCGTCTCGCCTGTGCAGAAGCCCGTGTCGCACGAGGAGTTCAAGAAGGTGCGTCGCCGGCTGCAGCCTCGCTCGGTCCCGTGCCGACCTTCTCAAGTCGCCCGCTCACGCTCGACCGCGCGCAGTTCTACGAGTCGATCGGCAAATGGGCGTCGGGTACTGCCGTGGCCTACCTGCCCAACATGCTCGTCGCGCCCGAGCGAGAGCCACGCCTGGCGCCAGGTCTGCCTCATGGTCAGGTGCGCGCGCCCGTTTTGTCCTCTCCTCCTTCCTCTTTTTTCCGGCGCTCACCTGCGCCTCTTGCCCTCTGCAGCGCTTCGAGTCGCACGCAGTCGTCGCCCTTGCCGATGCTCGCCCCTGGCACCTCGCCGACCGCTTCCTGTCGGACGGCAGGTGGCGCTTGGTCCTCTTCGCGGGCGACGTTCGCGAGCCGCAGCAGCGCGACAAACTCGAGCAGGTGCGCCGGCCTCTCTCTCTCTCTCTCTCTATCCTCGACCGTTCCCTGACACCGAGACGCACACAGGCCGCAGCTTACCTCGACTCGTCGGCGGGCCCGCTCCGCACCTTCACGCCGGCCGACGACGACCTCGACTCGGTCATCGAGGTCCTCACCGTCATCTCGGACCCGCGCACCTCAGTCGAACCCAACGCGTTCCCGGACGTCCTGTGGCCACCCAAAAAGCCGTACGGCTCACGTTGTGCGTCTCGTCCTCTCTCTCTCTCTCGCCGCCGCCCGTCTCGACCTCATGAGTCCTCCTTGCCGCTCGCAGCGTACGACAAGCTCTACGCCGACGACTCGTCCCCTGTCACGCCGAACGACCGCGGCGAGATCTACAAGCACCTCGGCATCGACGCAAAGACGGGCTGCGTCGTCCTCGTCCGGCCCGACCAGGTCGTCGCGCTCGTGTGCTCGCTCGACGACATTGGCGACATCGGCTCGTTCCTCTCGCAGTTCATGGTCCCGCAGCAGCAGTAGTAGTCCCTCCCTCTCTCGAGACGTTCGCAATGTACTAGAGCTGTTGCAGAGCAAGCTACGTCAAGTGCCCGCGAGCGCTCATCTCCTGTGCGAGCCGCCTCCCCTCCTCCCCTCGCCGCCGCCGTGCCGGTGCGGCGGCGGGTCGCGCGCACCGTCCCTCGACGACTCGTCCGTCCTCTGCCGCTTGGGCTCCTCGGGCGCGAGGCGGTCGGCGAGCGCCGGCCGCTTGCGCGACGAGTCGTCCTGGTCGCGCCTGCTGCCGCCCGACGTCGACGACCTGCTGCGGTCCTCGGCCGGCTTGGACGACGTAAGCCCGGCAAAGAGCCTGCTGGACCCGCGACCCTTGATCGAGAGCGGGGCGTCGGTGGCGGTGGGACTGTTGCGCGGCGAGTCCTTGGCGGCAGGAGGGGCGGGCGAGTGCGCGGCCGGCGAGGCGTCCTTGGCGCCGCCAGCGCTCGGCAGACTTGCCCGGGCGCGGTCGACGAGTGAGCCCGACGAGGGTGCAGGCGGGGAGCGCTCCGACTCCTTGTCCGACTGCGAGCGCGAGGCGGGTGCGGGACGCAGGCGGTCGACGCCGCCACCGCCGCCACCGCCCGAGGGTTTGGGCGGCAGCGCACCACGGCCGCCGCGGTCCTTGCTGTCACGCTCCTTGTCCTTGCCGGCGCGCCGGTCGGCCTCCTCCTTGCGCGCCTTCTCGCGCTGCTCCTCGCGCTCACGGTCCCGCTGCCGCGCCCTCTCCTTCTCCTCCTCACGCTGCTCCGCCTCGCGCGACAGCTTGGTCCGGTCCGACGTGCGACGCTCGCGGTGCGACTCGTCACGACGGCTGCGCTCGTCGTCGGCGCGGCGCGAGGACGACGACGCCGAGGCCGACGGGCCCGTCGGGACCGGCTTGGCGTGGCGGTCGTCGTCACGGCGAGACGAGCGGTCGTCGCGGCGCGCATCGGGAACGTCGCGCCTGGAGGAGGACGGCATCGAGCCGGGGGCGGCGCGGTCGTCGCGAGCGCCTCGCCCGCCACGCGAGTCGCGCTCTTTGTCCCGCACGTCCCGGTCGCGCTCGCGCTCCCGGTCGCGCTCGCTCGTGCGGCCGCCGCGATCCGACGCTGCGCTGCGTCGGTCGTCCCTGCTCGTGCTCGCGCGAGAGTGCGACGACTCGACGCTGCGCTCCCTCACCTCGCGCTCCTTCTCCCGCTCCTTCTCCTTCTCTCGCTCCTTCTCGCGCTCACGGTCGACGACCGCTCGGTCTGCTCCACGCTCGGGGACACGATCGGCGACCCTGTCCCGAGCGCGGTCACGGCTGCGGGGCCGAGAGCGGACGTCGTCGCGCGGGTCGCGGGCGTCGCGGTCGCGGTCGCGACGCGGACTGGCCGCGCGAGAGGAAGGGCGTGACGCTGACGGGCTGTCGACGACGTTGACGGCGGCGGAGCGAGAAGAGGCGGACGCGGCAGGACCTCGTGCGGGCGGCGGGTCCATCTTCTTGTCCATGGCGCGGTCCCGCTCGCGCTCGCGTTCACGCTCACGCTCACGCTCGCGGTCGCGGTCTGCGCCGCTGCGCTCGCGCTCGCGCTCCTTGTCGCGGCCCGACGCACTGCCCGGCGCCGAGTTGGCGGGCGAAGCGGCAGGCGCCCGCTTGCTCGCGAGGGCCTCGGCGCGAAGCCGGTCGGCGACCGAGTCGGCGGTCGAGGTCGACGTGCCGTTGGTGCCAGGGCGAGTCGGGAGCGAGGAAGAGGTGGAAGGAGGGTCGTTGCGGCGAGTGTCGGCGGCAGGTCGGGAACTGCGTGCACGAACCTTGTGAGTAGATGTGCGACGACGAGGCGCGTGAGAGGCAAGGCGACGCACGGGTGCGAAGACGACGACGGCTTGACGTCGGCCTGCGAGGCTCGCGTCGATGGTGCGCCCGGGCGGCTCGGGAGCGCGCTCCTCGAGGCCGCCTGCGCGGCCGCCGGGGCAGGCGTCGCTCGGGCCGAGGACGGGTTGCCCGGCGCCGGCGAGCCGGCTGGCGAGGCCGACTTGATCGCGGTGCTGGCGGTGCGAGCGAGAGCGGGCTGCACCACGGAGAGGAAGGTGTGAGCGCTCGACGAGGGAGGAAGGCGGTCGAGGAGAGAGACGCACAGCGGGCTCGGGCTTGTTGACCCAGTGCTTGCGGCGCTTGCCGACGACGGCCTTGTACCTGCGCGCGTGTGGAGAAGGTCAGGACGGGCCCGGCGGATTGGAAGAGGGAGAGGACGGACCCTTGAGCGAGGATGGTCAAGTCCTCGCGCTTCTCGACGGCGAGCAGCTCGACGACGCTGCGCTCGAGCGTCTCGCCCTGCTTGTGGTCGAGCGGGAAGAAAGGCGCAATCTTGGTGAGAACGAGGATCGAGTTCTTGATGTGCATGTAGCCGCCGGACCGGAAGCTCTCGATGAAGCCCTGCAGCGTGGCCGAGTACTGGGTCAGGACGTGCGGTCGACGAGAGAGGACCGAGTAAAAGTGGGACGCACGAGGACCATGTTGCCGTGCCACTTGAGGAGCGCGGCCTGAAAGTCGGCATGCTCGTAGTGCTGGCGCGGCTTGTCCGACGACGACGAGTCGTTCATCGAGCGCAGGAAGCCCGACAGCTCGCCGTTCTTGCCGACAGCGTGCTCGGCGTAGGCGGCCTGGTCCTTGTACCACCCGTTGAGCTCGCCGAGGACGTCGTAGATGAACCGGCCTGCGAGAAGGGGCACGAGCGCGAGGTCAGTGCTTGGTCTCGGGGGCGAGGATGCCGCCGCGGCGAAAGAGGGGACGCACCATAGTTGCGCGCCTCGTTCTCGGTGCACGAGAACAGGATCGGGCTGATCTGGCTCGTCAGGAGCTGCGGGACCGAGATGCCGAAGCTCGTCAGGACTGCGCGCTCTTCTCGACCCGGCCACCCCGCACCCAGAGGAGCGAGAGGGGACGCACACGATCGTAGAAGACGACGGTGTGGAAGCCCGGCGTGTCGAGCGCGTGAAGCTTCTTGACGAGCTGGTGCGCAAAGACGGCGTCCGGGAGCGACAGGCGCGCACGAGGCTGGACGCAGTACTGCAGGATGTCGTCGGCGAGGCGGATGCGGTCGGCCTTGGTCTTGACGTCTGCGCGCAGGAGAGCGAGAAGAAGGTCAGGAGGCGGCGCGAGAGGGAAGACGACGAGAGGAAAGGGCGAGGACGCACTGCTGAACCAGTGCACCTTCTCGCGCCCGAGCCGACGCGTGACCCGGTTCTTCGAGCTGAGGTGCATCGCCGCCTCGGACGACAGGCCCGTCGCCGTCGCGATGACGTTCTCGACAAAGTGCGCCTTGTCCTCCTGCTTGACGCCGGCGAGGCTCGCCACGTCGCGCTGCAGGGCCCGCAGGCGCGTGATCTCGGCGTCGTACCGCACCTTGGGGTACAGGATGTCGTGCAGGGTGAGCTGCCAGAACGTGACGAAGAACGGGGCGCCGAGCGTGTCGCGAGCCGAGGCGGGAAGGACCTCGGCGACGTTGCGGATCTCGTCGACGAGCGCCGAGTGCCACGGCTGCGGTTGAGGTGGAAGGACGAAAAGAGTCAGTCAGGGCGACTGCGCAGAACGGGAAAGACAGGAAAGAGGAGGAGGAAGACGCACCTCGACTGGTACGGGTGCGGGTGCCGGGGTCGAGCTGCCGCTCTCGCCGTTGACGGCCGACACCGCGCCGTTCGCCGGCGGCGGCGGCGGCGTCCCGCTCTCCTCGGCGCCCTCCTTCTTGACCTCGGCGCCCGCGTCGACCTTCTTGTCATCGCCCTCGCCGTCGCCCATCTCGACGTCGCCCTCGCCGTCGTTGCCCTTGCCCGCCGCCACCGCTGCCGCCGCCGCCGCGTCGGCCTCGTCCTTGGCCCTGCGCTCGGCCTTCTCCTTCTTGAGTCGCGCCGCCAACAGGCTCTCCTTGCGCGCCTGGAGCTCGCTCTGCTCCTTGTCGTCCGCGGCGCGGATCCTCGCCCGCAGCCTCGGCCGCGCGAGGTCGAACGCGACGCCGGCATCGAGGCCGAACCGGCCGAGGAGCGTGCTCGGCTCGGGCACGAGGGCGGCGAGCTCGGTGGGCGTCGTGAGGGCGGCGAGGAGCTCGGTGAACTGGAACAGGACGGCGTGCGTCTGGTCGAACAAGGCGCCGAGCGACTTGAGGTGGGCGCCCGGGGTGCGCAGACACGCCTGGCGCTGCAGGGCAATGTTGACGAGGAGCGGGACGGCGAGCCCTTTGTCGAGGAGGGCCGAGCGCAGGCGCGAGCGGGCCTTGACGAGGGCGTCCTGGACGGCGCGCTGCGACGCCTTGGCGAGGTCGGTCTGCTGGTACACCTCGCTGCGGAGGTGCGGCCCACCGGCGAGGCTCAGGACCTGGGCGTCGCTCAGGTCGGCGAACGGCTCGATGGCCGTCATGCGCGCGATGAGCTCGCGCAGGACGACGAGGTCCTTGGACTCGCCGCTGACGAGCGCGTTGACGAGGTACTGGAGGACGACCCACAGCGAGGGCTGCATCTGGACCCACCGGCGGTACAGCTGGCCGGTAAGAGTGGCGAGGCCCGAGAGCCACATGGCGATCGACGTGCCGTCCTCCTTGGTCTTGGGGCGGTCCGACGACAGGGCGTCGAGGATCGAGTAGGCGAGGACGTCGTACGACAGGGTCGACAAGTACCGCGACGCCTCGACGACGGGCACGATCAGGTTGTCGTAGCTCTGGATCTGGTTGATGACGACGGCAAAGACGGCGGCCGGGTTGGTGTAGGCCGTGCGCGCGAGGAGCTTGCCGAGCTTTTTCGAGTTGTCGGTCGACAAGCGCCTGAGGATGCTCTTGCAGTCGCGCTCGGCCTCGGCCTTGCGCACGCCGAGCTCGGGGTTGCGCCGCGTGAGCGAGTCCTTGACCTCGCCGTACAGGGCAAAGCGCTGCTCGATCGGGTACAGCGACAGGACGCGCCAGATCTCGGTCGCCGCCGCCGGGTGGTGCTCGAGGAGGGCGATGCCGGGCAGGAGGTGCAGGCGGACGAGGTCGAGCCACCTCGTGCGGCGAGGGTGGTCCGACGGGTTGGTCTGCGAGGCAAAGAGGCGTGCGAGCACGTCAGTCTCTGAGTGCCGGCGAGAGAGGCTGAGAGAGAGAGAGAGAGAGAGAGAAGGAGAGAGAAGAGCGCGCCGACGCACCCCAAGGTCGGCGACAGCCACCCTGACAATCTTGGTGAACGTCCCAAAGTCCCTCGCGACGTGGATCCCGACGAACGGCAAGTAGACCTTTTCGAGGAGCTCGACGACGCCCTCGGGGCCTTGGGCGCGCGGGACCCGCTCGGTCCACCGCGGGAAGAAAAAGGTCCACTCGCCGCGCTGCGCGTTGGGGAACGCCGAGCCCGTCAGGGTCGGTTGGCGCGGCGGCGACAGCGACGACGGCGGCGGCGCCTTGGTGCCCGACGTCGTCGAAGAGGGCCGCGCTCGCGGCGCCGTAAACTCGGCGACGTACTGCGCGGCGAGGCCCGAGCCGGCCGCCGAGGGCGACAGCGGGTCGTACGCGGGCGCGATCGACGCGGCGACGAGGCGGTTGACGAGGTCGGCGACGCGGGGAAAGACGCGCGCGAGGAAGGGGAACGTCGACAGGATGAAAAACGCGTGGGTCGAGTCGCCGATCGAGAGGAGCGCCTCGAGGAGGCCCAGGCGCTGGTTGGGCGGGTCGCGCGCCGGGACCGCTGCTGCCGCCGCTGCTGCCGCCGCCGACGACGACGACGATGCCGTCGTCGAGGAGGCGCCCTCGGCGCCCGCTGCCGCCGCAGGCTTGGCCGCCGGGGCCTCGTCGTCGACGAGCGCGCCCGCCATGGCGAGCGCATTGGCCCCGCCTGCCGACCTCGCCCTCTGCGCCTGGTCGTCCCTCCACGCCGCGTCCATTTTGGTGAGGGCCTTGTCGTCGGGCGACAGGTGGGGCCACAGGTCCGACAGGCGCGCGAGGCCGTGCCAGACGAGGAGCGCGGCGGCGAGGTACAGCGAGTCCGGGACGGCCGTCTCGGGCGCAGCCGACAACGAGGGCGACTGGTACAGGGCAAACTTGAAGCCGAGGATCTGGGCGATCGTGTCGCTGCCGGACTCGTCGTCGAGGCCGACGTCGATCGGCATCGCCGAGGGGTCCTTGGCCGACGAGGACGACGACGCGGCGGCGGCGCTCGAGCGCGGCTTGGGCGCCCACGGCGAGAGCGACAGGAGGTCGATAAAGAACTGCCAGTGCTTCACGACGTGGTCCGAGAAGGCGTCGAGGATGACGTCAAGCGTGCGCGTCGGGTCGAGGTCAAAGTTGCCTGCGCGCGCACACGAGTCGTCAACACGTCGTCCGACGGCCGGACGCCGAGGAGAAGAGAGGAGGAGGGGCGTGGGGGCGCACCGATGAGGTTCTTGACGCGGTCCATGGCGACCTGAGCGCGCCTGAGCCGCTCGTGCTCGGTCTCGCGGCTCGCGCCCGTGTCGGGCGAGTGCGGCGGGCCCATGTCGCTCAGGAGCTCGACGATGAGCTTCGAGTAGCCCTCGGACTCTTCGCGCAGCAGGTTGAACTTTTGCTGCTTGTAGCTGCGCGCCGCGAGAAAGGAGGAGGAGCGGGTCAGGCTTCGCCGGCGAGGAGGGAGGGGGAGGAGGAGGAGGAGGAAGAGGGCGACGCACTACAGGGCGGTGCGCTGTCGGACCTCGGTGCGCTGGAAAAAGTTGACGTCGTGCACGAGGCCGGCGAGGCCAATCAGGGCAAAGTCGAGCCGCTCGACGAGGGCCGCCGCCGGGATGTGGCCCGAGTCCTGGTTCACGAGCGAGTGTGTCAGCCGCTCGTCTCGTGCGTGTCGGCGGGACCTGAGAGGAGGAGACGTAAGGTGGGACGTACGGCGAGGGCCTTGCAGAGGTGGGCGAGACGGGTGCGCGCGTTGAGGACCTCGGCGTCGACGAGCTTTGTGCGGTCTGCGGCGGGCGCTGACGATGACGAGGTCGCACCCGACGGGTCGTCGAGCTGCATGCCGTCTTGCAGTTCGGCGGGCGGTGCTGCTGCACGAGGGACGGCGAGGTCGATGCGGGTGTAGAGCTCCTGGTCGACCTGCCAGACGACGTCGATCCAGACGTCGGCGAGGCGTGCGGTGCGGTCTTGGTCGTGCGCGAGGTGGTTGAAGACGCCGTCGGTGAACAAGGCTGCGAGGCGGTGCGGGTCGGGGCGAGCTTGCGGGTCAACGGAGGCGACAGAGGCGACGAGCTGGTGCACGAGGCTGGTGAGGAGGAGGTGCTCGGCCGGGTCATGGCTCGCTGTTGCTGCGAGGTGGACCAGCGAGGCTGCGCTGTGTCGGCGTGCGAGGCCAGGTGAGCTGTCACTGCTGTTGCGCAACCACGAGGAGGACGAGGGGCGCACAGGTCGTCGTGGGGCGCGTCGCCCGCGAGGAAGGCGAGCACCTGGGCGCTGGCCCCTTGCGGGGTGACGGTGGACGCGCTCATGCACTCGTCGAGCGTGAGCAGGATCGTGTCGGAGAGAGAGACGTCGACTGTCGACCTGATGGAGACGCACCTCTCGCGCTCCCTCTCTACCACGCAGAGCCTGGCCGCGACTGCGCTCCAGCCCTAGCTAGCCAAGTCGCCGCGACTGCCCGCTTCAAGCGAACCACGCCCGCCTCGCCGTCGCTGTTCAACCCCCGTCCTCGTCGTCCGTCACCAAGCAGCCACCGCACCCCGCCTGCGCCTCGAGGGCCTCCGACAAGAGCACGACGCTGCAGACATGGCCGACGCAAAGCTCTTTCAGCGCAGCAAGCTCCAGGAGTGCGTCCACCCCCGTTGTCGCTCACTCCTCCCTCCCCTCGGCCTCGACTCCATGTGGGGACTCGTCGCTGACGGCCCCTACACCCACACAGGCTCCGCGCCGAGCTCCAAGCCGACAAGAAGGACAAGAACTTTGCCCGCCGCAAGACGGTCCTCAAGCGCGTCGTCGCGTCCATGACCATGGGCCAGGACCTGTCGCCCCTGTACCCGGACGTCCTCGCGTGCCTCTCGATCCAGGTCGTCGACATCAAGAAGATGGTCTACCTGTTCCTGATCAACTACGCCCGCGTCAAGCCCGAGATGGTCCGCCACGCCTTGCCCGGCCTCCTCGCCGACGCCGACGACAAGAACGCCCTCGTGCGCGCCCTCGCCATGCGCACCATGTCGTACATCCCGGTCCCCGAGGTCCTGCGCGCCCTCGTCGACCCGCTCCACCACGCCCTCAAGGACCGCGACCCGTACGTGCGCAAGACGGCCGCCATCTGCGTCGCCAAGCTCTACATGCACGACCGGCGCCTCGTCGACAAGCACGGCTTTGTCGCCTCGCTGCGCGACCTCCTCATGGACCCGAACCCGACCGTGATCGCCAACGCCGTCGCGAGCCTGACCGAGATCAGCGAGCGCAGCGACAACATCCACCTGCGCCTCAACGCCGACGTCGCGAGGCGCCTCGTGCGCGCCATGACCGAGGCGAGCGAGTGGGGGCAGACGTACATCCTCGAGGCCCTCATGTACTATGTCCCCGACACGCACGACGACGCGACTCTCCTCGCCGAGCAGGTGTCGATCCGCCTCCAGCACTCCAACTCGGCCGTCGTCCTCGCCACCGTCAAGGTCATGCTCTACCTCATGAACTACATGGGCAGCGAGCAGGTCGTCGAGGACATGTGTCGGCGCCTCAGTCCTCCACTCGGTGCGTCGTCCCGTCTCGCCCTTGCCCTCTCTCGCCTCGTCTCGTCTCGACCTTTCCTGACACTTGCGGCCTCCCACGCTCGCCAGTGACGCTCCTGTCGTCCGGCTACGAGGTGCAGTACGTCGCGCTGCGCAACATCCACCTCATCATCCAGCGGCGGCCGTCGGTCCTGCGCAACGACGTCAAGGTCTTTTTCTGCAAGTACAACGACCCGATCTACGTCAAGCTCGCCAAGCTCGAGATCATCTACCGCCTCGCGCACGCGCGCAACGTCGAGCAGGTCCTCGCCGAGCTCAAGGAGTACGCGTCCGAGGTCGACGTCGACTTTGTGCGCAAGGCGGTGCGCACGATCGGGCGCCTCGCCATAAAGGTCGACCAGGCGGCCGACCTGTGCATCTCGGTCCTGCTCGAGCTCGTCAAGACAAAGGTCTCGTACGTCGTCCAGGAGGCCATCGTCGTCATCAAGGTGCGCCCGTCCGCTCTCCCTCTCTCTCTCTCTCCCTTGCGTCGCACTGACTCGGAGCCCGTGCACGCCCCCCGCGCAGAACATCTTCCGACGGTACCCGAACCGGTACGAGGGCATCATCGGGACGCTGTGCGAGAACCTCGACGCGCTCGACACGCCCGACGCCAAGAGCGCCATGATCTGGATCGTCGGCCAGTACGCCGACCGCATCTCGAACTCGGACGAGCTCCTCGAGGACTTTCTCGAGACGTTCCTCGACGAGCCGACCGAGGTCCAGCTCGCGCTCCTGACGGCCACCGTCAAGCTCTTCATCAAGCGCCCGACGGCCGGCGCCGAGCTCGTCCCGCGCGTCCTCAAATGGGCGACCGAGAGCGTCGACAACCCGGACCTGCGCGACCGCGGCTTCATCTACTGGCGCCTCCTGTCGACCGACCCGGCCGCGGCGCAACAGATCGTCCTCGGCGCCAAGCCCGACATCAGCACCGAGGGCGACGCGCTCGACCGCTCGGTCCTCGACCGCCTCTTGCTCCACACCGGGTCCCTCGCGAGCATCTACCACAAGGAGGCGCACGCGTTTGTGCGCGGCGCGAGGGCAAAGTACCTCGGTGACAGCCCGGCCCTCGACCAGGACGCGCGAGACGCCTACGCCGAGCAGCTGCGGCGCTTGCCCCAACAGCAGCAGCCGCAGCGGGCGCCGGACGCCCAGCCGGCACCGCTCGTGGTCGCGGCGTCGCCCTCGTCGGCGGGCATGGCAGGCGCTCCGGCGCTCCCGCAGCGGCCGGCGGCGGGCGGGCGATCGGCGTCGGGCGACGCGCAGGACGACTTTGCGGCGATGGGGCCGGCGCGAGGAGGAGGAGGAGGAGGAGCGGGCGGCGCGGCGGCGCAGGGGCTCCTCGACGATGTCGACGAGGGCGACGATGGCGTGGACGACGACGACGAGGAGGAGGAGGGCGCGGCGCTCAACCCGGGCGCGCTGTCCGCCGAGTCGGCGGCCGGGCCTGGAGCTGTCGCGGCGGCGGGTGGTGGGCGCGCGCGGTCCGGCACGGTCGCGTACGGGACCGAGCGCGTCGACGACGAGCGCGAGGGCGACGAGGGCGGAGGGGCGCTCGACCCGTACGCGAGCCTGGCGCGGTTGAGCCTCGACTTGGGCGGCGGCGGCGGCGGAGCGGGCGGCGGCGACGGGTACGGGTACGACGGCCCGCAGCCGCAGACGGTCAGCGGGAGGACGAACGACGACTTGTTGCTGTAGTCGGAGCTGAGCTGGGGCAACGAGCCTCTCTATCGCACTTTCGCTCGCTCGCGAGTCGCCCGAGGTGGGGAGAGCAGGAGCGGTTCGAGGAGAGCACGGAAAGACGGCCCGCGTTCGGGCTCCTGGGTGCTGCTTGTCATTACAGAGCAGGGTCCGTCGCAGTTCAACCCAGCTCGCAGGCTGGCCGTCGTCGTCTTGGACGCTCGCCAAGCCGCCGCGAGCGGGCTGACCACCTCGCTCTCCTCGCACACCTCGCTCGGCCTATCCGACAGGCTCAGTGAGCAGCACACGCGCACACTCGACACAGCGCACGACCGCGCACGACCCTCACCGCCGCGACCGACGTGTGACGCGCCTCTCGTCCTCATCAGCGCCCGCTCCACCTCTACCGCCAGCACCACCCGCGCGAGCCCGCCCGACTAGCTGTACAGCGCTCGACCAGACTCAAGACCAGCATGCAGGTGCGTCGCAGTCCGCTCGAGACGTCGTGCCCCGCCGGGCGAACGGGCGAGATCGCCTTGCTCGCAGGCGGGGCTGCATTTCGAGCACTTGTGCGGACGCCGAGTCGAGTACTGACACACTCTTGAGTGCACACAGTCCCTCGCCGTGCGCCTCTCGCGGCACCACGGCTCGCTCACGCCCGACTCGTCCCCACTCGGCCACCCGACACCCGGCTCGCTCCACCTCACCGCGCACCACCTCGTCTTCAAGCGCGACGACGTCGACGCGAGCACCGTCGAGAACAAGGGCGATGGCAAGGGCCAGGTCGAGGACAGTGGCGACGAGGTCTGGGTGAGTGCGACTCGCTTCCTCCCCTGCTCGCGCCAGCCCCGGACAGCCAGGGCCCGCCGGCTAAGGCTTGAGGGTGCCCTACTCACACCTCGCGCATCCACAGATCCCGCTCACGCTCCTCCACTCGGTGACGCGCACCCCGCCCTCCCTCACCGGCGAGCCGACGCCCCTCGTCCTCCGCACGCGCGACTACCTCACCTACGAGCTCTCGTTCGCCTCGATCGCCGACGCCGACCTCGCGTGGGACACGCTCAAGGCGCAGTGCGGCACCCTGTCGAGCGGCGGGCTCGAGGCGCGGTACGCGTTCGCGCAGCCGAGGAGGACGGCCAAGGGCGAGGGCGAGGGGGACGGCGCCGGCAAGGGCAAGGGGCGCGCAGACGGGTGGGAGGTGTACGACGTCGAGAAGGAGTTTGCGCGCATGGGCATGGGCACGAGGAGCAAGGCGTGGAGGTTCACCAACGTCAACGCCGACTTTCAGGTGCGTCGCCCGGTCCTCTTCGGCGCCCGAGCGGGGCCGACACTAACTGTTTCCTCGCCCGTGCGCAGTTCTGCCCGTCGTACCCGGCCAAGATTGTCGTTCCCGCCAAGATCTCGGACACGACGCTGTCGTACGCCGTCAAGTACCGCAGCAAGAGCCGCATCCCGGGCCTCGTCTACCTCCACTGGGCCAACCTCGTCCGTCCTCCTCCCCCTTCCGCCTCGAACATGTCTCTGACGTCTCATGATGTCCTGCAGGGCTCGATCACGCGCTCGTCGCAGCCCATGGTCGGCATCACGCAGAACGCGCGCTCGATCCAGGACGAGAAGCTCATCGAGGCCATCTTCACGTCGCACTCTCAGCACTCGCACGCGCTCCAGCCCATGCACGTCTCGGACAGCAACTCGTCGCCCCTCTCGCCGACGCACGACGCCCAGCAGCAGATCGTGTACGGCGCGACGCCGAGCAACATCATCATCGACGCGAGGCCGACCAAGAACGCGTACGCCAACTCGGTCAAGGGCGCCGGGACCGAGAACATGCTCTACTACCGCAACTGCAAGAAGGAGTACCTCGGCATCGACAACATCCACGTCATGCGCTCGAGCCTGAACGGCGTCTTTGACGGTCCGTCCCTCTCTCGCTCGTACTCCCTCAAGGCGTCCAGGTGTCCTGACTCGCACCTTTTCTTCGCAGCTCTCGCCGACGCCGAGTCGACGGGCACGCTCGACCGAGCCGCTCTGCGCCGCACCAACTGGCTGTCGCACCTGACCAACATCCTCGACGGCGTCCTCATCGTCGTCCGCACGGTCCACCTGTTCAACTCGCACGTCCTCGTCCACTGCTCGGACGGCTGGGACCGCACGTCGCAGCTGTCGGCGCTGCCGCAGCTGTGCCTCGACCCGTACTTCCGCACGGCGCGCGGGTTCGCCGTCCTCATCGAGAAGGACTGGGTCTCGTACGGCCACCGGTTCGCCGACCGGTCGGGCCACCTGTGCAACGACCGCGTCGACTTTGTCCACAAGCTCGGCACGGACGCGTCGACGCAGCAGGCGTTCCTCGCGAGCGTCACGCGCCAGTTTGCCGGGTCGTCGCACGCGTTCAAGGAGACGTGCCCGGTCTTTCAGCAGTTCCTCGACTGCGTGTACCAGGTCCAGCGCCAGTTCCCGACCCGGTTCGAGTTCAACGAGCGCCTGCTGCGCCACCTCGTGCGCGAGACGTACGGCGACGCCCAGGGCACGTTCCTCTTCAACTCGGAGCGCGAGCGCGCGGAGCTCGACGCCCGCTCGCGCACGGCGAGCGTGTGGGATACGGTCTTTGACCCGGCGACAGGCACCCTCAAGCCCGAGTTCCGCAACCCGGCGTACGATCCTGCGCTCGACGACCCGCACCGCAAGTCGCCCGACGCCGACCAGGGCGTCGTCCTGGTTGACGCGCACGACGTCCGATGGTGGCACGAGCTGTTTGGGCGTGACGACGACGAGATGAACGGCCGCCCGTTTGCGGCCGACCCGTCGGCGAGCGGCGTCCCCACCGACACGGTCACCGAGGTCAAGGTCGTCGAGGGCCTCGACGACGACCCGGTCCTGAACGGGCTCGCGGCGCGCACGGCCGGCGTCGCGCTCGGTGGGCCGGGCACGAGCAACGGCGACGAGCCCGCCGAGCCGCACAAGCTCTCGTCGTCGTCGTCGTCGCACGCGCCGCCGCACGCCGGGCTCGACCAGCACCACCACCTCGGCCCGTCCTCGCGCTCGCCGAGCCCGGCTGCCACTCGCGGCGGCGAGCTCCTCTCGCAGCAGCAGCTCACCGAGACGGTCGCGTCGGTGCAGAAGCTCGGCTGGAGCGCGTGGAAGTCGGTGCGCAAGTTTGGTGAGGACGCGGCGCGCCAGCTCAAGGAGCAGCAGGCGGCGCGAGCGGCCGAGCTTGAGCGCGAGAGGGAGCAGGGCGCGAGGGCCGGGCAGGCGCAGGGTTACGGGCACGAGGGGAGCGGCGCGGGGTGGGGGTCGAGCGAGGTGCGCGAGGGCGCCGGCGCCGTCGCAGGGCGGAGCGAGGGCGCCGCAGGAGGCTCGTGGGGCAGTCGTGCGGGTGGCATGTGGGGCAAGCTGTCGGCGACGAACCCTTGGGCGGCGGGCAACGAGCCGAGCCACGCCCACCCCTCGTCCTCCTCCGCCTCCCTCTCTACCGACCCGCCTCGCCCTTCCTCATACGACTCGCCGAGCTACGCCGCCTACCAGTCTCGACAAGCCGCCGCCCCTTCCTCGTTCGCCGCCGCTCCCCAGCCCTCGCACCCCTCGTCTCGCGCCGCACCCGCGCCAGCTCGCCAGCCGAGCAGCTCGCTCTCGATCAACCCGTGGGAGACGATCTCGCGCGACGAGGCCGTCCCGTCAACCTCCGTCTCGAGCAGTGCGCCGAGCCCGCTCGTCGCGCCCGTGCACAAGCCGGCCATCGAGAAGGACGAGCCGCCAAGGTCGGCGCCGCCACCGGCGGGAGCCGCGACGGACCCGCTCGGCGTCGGTTGGACCTGAGGGAGGACAGCAGGAGGGCCGATGTTCTCTCGTTTTGCAATAGCATGTTGTTGTGCCTCGTCTGGGCCGATTGCGCTTCTAGAGAAAGCGAGAGAGACGCTCTCGCTCAACTTGAGAAGGTCGAAAAAGAGAACTCGGTTGCAGGGGAGCGCTACGGCAAAGATAGATACGGCGAGGGAGAGAGGCTCCGGAGCATGAGCCTACGTGCGAGGCCGGAACGACTGAGGGCTGTCGAGCGTCGGCGAGAGGGCATAGGCGGCGTTGTCGGAGGGAGAGCTGGACGAGAGTGCGGCGTACGGCTTGGCCGAGTCGTCCTGGACCTCGGGATAGCTGCCGTAGGTCGACATGGCGCGCTCGCTGTGCGGGACAAAGGCGCTCTGGCCATCTGTGGGCGATGCGGGGAGGAAGAGTCAGTTAGGAAGGCGAAAAAGGGAGAGGCCCGAGCGGCGGCGACGCACCGACGGGGCTGCGTCCGGGCTGCATCGAGGGCCCAGGAGTGCCGGCAGACGTCATGATCGACGGCGCGTACGACGTGCCGTACTCGCTGTGAGCGCGGCGGCGTCGACGGTACATGAGGAGGCCGCCGAGGGCAACAAGTGCGGCGGCACCGACGCCCACGCCGACACCGACGCCGACGCCGACTGTAGATGCGCTGCTAGTACCGCCGCCGCTCGAGGCGCCGGTCGGGTCGGCAGAAGGGAGCGACGAGGATGACGTGGTCGACGAGCTGCTCCCGCCGAACTGAGCCGACGAGCTCAAGGCTGCGGGTAGAATTCGTCAGGAGGCGTCGGTGCTGAGAGAAAGATGAGAGTGGGACGCACTTGACGAGGCAGACGTGCTCAAGGTGCTCGACGCCGCCGGCGCCGAGGAGGACGAGGCGTTGGCAGTGACGCCGAGCGAGCCGGGCGCGGCGTCGACGAACCCGCTGCTCCACCGCAGCGTCTCTGCCGACATGAGCGCGTCGTCCGACACTGCGAAATCGACCTTGATGCCGGCGTTGTTGGCGTCGGCGCCGGTCTGGCCAATCGTCAGGACGTGGTTCCCGAGCGACAGGCCCGTGACGGCGCAGCGCGAGACGTTGACCGAGCCGGCGGTCGCCTCGAGCGCCCTTGACGCGTCATACCAGTGCAGCTCCTGCGTCCGGGGAGGGGAGGAGCGGGTCAGGAGCTTGTTTCGACGCTGGCGGGAGAGGCGAGGTCCGGGCGCCGGAGGAGACGAGGAATTACGGCCGCGTCGACATAGCAGAAGAAGCGGCCCTGCGTGGCCCAGTAGTCGCCGTACACGTTGACGGCGGAACCGTAGAAGGTGAACTGCGCCGTACAGTTGGTCGCGCCGCGAGCTGCTGAAAGGGGCGAGAGGGTCAGCTGGCTTCGTCGTTCTTGAGAGACAGGCTCGCGAACGAGAGCTCGAGTGCTCACCGAGGTCGCAACTCGAGAACGTCCCGTCGAACCAATCTTGGCCAGGGCTGACAGCTGCACGGGGGGAGGCCAAGGTCAGCGACGTGAGCGAGGACGAAACTGGCGCGCCAGATTGCGAAACTGACGAGTAGCGTTGCGGAACTGCGCCCAGCCGGCTCCAAACGACCAGGCTGCGTCGGCGTCGTCGATCCAGCGGATGGTCATGTCGAGTGCACAGCAGGAGCGAGAGGAGCGCAGGCGGAGGAGCAGCGAGCGAGCGGCGTCCGTGGGCCGCAGACGGCGACCCGCCCGAGAGGCGCGAGCGCGGACAGGAGAATCCGAAGCACACCGAGCCGCCGTGCGTCCACGAGTGATAGTGCGCGAGCGGCAAGTGCGATAGGTGGACGAGAGGCCCGAGCGGGATGAGCTGTCGACGCGACGGAACGAGGGCGAGGTCAAAGCGCGAAAGCGTGGTCCTCTTTGCTTGCTCGAGCCTGGCAGGCCCGTCTCTGCGCAGCTCTCGACGAACTCGGGCGAACGAGAATGTGCAGTGCGTCGAATAAGACAGGTCACGCGCGAGATACAGACTGCCGCTCCTCGAGGAACCCCTCGCTCCTCGCTCCTTGCTCCTCGCTCCTCGAGCCGTTCCCCCCCCTCTCACCGCTCAGAAGCCCCTTGGCCGGAACGTCGCCGGGCTGTCGAGCCGGCTGCCCTCGGACTCGCCGTACGCCGATGGCGAGTCGTGCGTCGGCGAGCCTTGGACCTCGGGGACGCTGAGCTGGCTCGGGCGGTAGTCGGCGGGAGAGGCAGCTGTGAATGTGCGAGGTTTGTCAGTACGTCCAGACACTGCTGTACTAGCACGTCGTCCCAGCCACTGCCGAGAGAACGTGCACAAGTGAAAACGAGCGACGCACCGGTCGGCGCGTAGGGCACGGTCCCGCCGTCGAACGAGCGCATCGACCTCGCCTTGAGCTCGTGATGCGGCTCAGTGACGACCGACCTCGCCTCGCTCTGGCGTTTGCGCTGGCGGATGATCCACAAGAGCGCGGCGAGCGCAAACAGGACGGCGAGGCCGACGCCGACGCCGACACCGGCCCCGATGGCGGTCGTGTTCGAGCCCGAGGATGAAGAAGACGTCGAGGTCGACGAGGCAGGAGAAGAAGTGAAGGACGAGACGGCCGAGGCCGTGGCAGCGGCAGTGCCGGGCTCGACCAAGGACCATCCCCAATCTGCTGCCGGTTCGGCTGTCGAGAAGTCGCTCGACCAGGTCAAGGCCGAGACGGCGTTGTCGGTCGCGTTCTCGACGACGTAGTAGTCGAGCTGGGAAAAGGCAGGAGTCAGTGCTGGAAGTGCGCGTCGAACGAGAAGGACCGCTCGGCCTGCTCGTCGAACGAGAGACTGGAAAAGGGACAAATGGACGCACCGTGACGCCATTCCCGACGACGTCCTCCTGCGTCTGCCCGAACAAGACCGTGTGCTGCTTGTTCTCGAGGCCCGACAGCGCGCATCGCGTGTGGTTCAGGCCGGCGGACTGTGCGCCGACGGGGCTGCCGAGCGTCGAGCCGCTGTACCACCGCCAGGGCTGCTCCTCGTCGAGCAGGGCGCAGTAGAAGCGGCCTTGTCGAGGGTTCCTGCGCGTCGAGAAGGTTGACGTGAGCGCGCTCGCCCGAGGAAGCGGACCTCGAGAGGAGGGGCGAGAGGACGGACCAGTCGCCCACGACCCAGAGCTTGGTGCCCGTGAACGTGATCGTCGCGTTGCCTGTGTGTGTGTCGGTGGTCAACTCCTGTGAAAGTGTGCGCGAGAGGAGGGGGAGGGAGAGACGAGGGACGCACAACCTGCGGCGAGCGACGTCTCGGACGACGCCGAGCACGAGTGGAACGTGCCGCCGAACCAGCTCGTTGCGTTGATCGCACCCGTGTCGCGCACGTAGGTCGTCCACTGCGCGGTCGCGAGAGAGGGCTCATCAGCCTCTGTTGCCGCCGCCGTCGAGAGGGAGGGCGAGGACGCACCGCGGTCGAGTACGAGACGGCGCTGTCCGTGTTGTCGTCAAAGTAGAGCAGCATGGCGCCGAGCAGCAGTGCTCGCGGGCAGTGGTGCGGTGGCGAGAGGGGAGGAAGCGAGACGAACAGCGAGCTCGAGCGCTGAATGGAGCGTCGGAGACTCCGCGCCGCACGCTCCTCCCTGTCGACCCCGACTGGCCGGACCTTTCTCGCACGTGCACCTCCTCCCCCTCGCCGGCGCCGTGAGAGCCGAGCGATCCCTCGGCGGGCGGTCGCACCTTTCTCTCGCTCTCTCTCTTGCGGCGCGTTGTCGAGGATGAACAGGTTGATGCAGGGATGGAGATGCGGGGAATAATACTCTGTCTAACGGACTGCGCGAGGGACGAAGAAGTCAGTCTGCGGATCTGCGAGAGGAGGGAGAGAGAGACAGGGACGCACCTCGCGCTCAGGCCTCCTCCTCCTCGACCGGTTCCTCGACCGCCGTCACGAGCCGGGCCCACTCGACCATCAACCTGTAGACGTACGTCTGCGCACGAGAGGAGAGAGAGTCAGTGAGGGCGCCAACGAGAGAGGGAGAGAGAGAGAGGCGGGCACACCTCCATGTCCTCCTTGCGCAAGTGCTGCTGGCGCCACTGGGTGCCAGCGTCGGCAATGTCCTTGAGCGCCTTGTCCGTGTCGAACGCCGAGCCGTCGGCATTGAGGGGCAGGTCCGGCATCGGGCTCGCGGGGCGCGACAGGACGGTCGGCTGGAGGCTCGACGTGCGGTTCTTGCCCCGCGCGCCGACGATCGAGGCCGGGTAGCCCTCGAAAAAGGTGACGAGGTTGTACAGCTCCGAGTAGGACGACGACAGCGGGATAAAGTGCTTCCTGCGAGCGGCGGGGCGCGAGGGAGGGTCAGTGCGGCTCGACGGTGCGACAAGGTCGTCGAGGGGGAGAAAGAGAAAGAGAGGAGAGGGGACGCACCAGGGCTGGGCCCACCCACGCCAGAACTCGCGCTGGATGCTCGACTTGACGACGGCGCTCTTGCTCTCCATGAGGGCCGGGAACCTCGGCGAGAAGCCAATCTCGTCAATGTCGAGCACGAGCTTGTGCTTCCACGCGTCGCTCATGGGCGCCGGCGGCTCGACGCGGTAGCCCAACGAGCGCAGGTACGAGCACTCGCCGAGCTGCGGGTCGCACGCCATGGCAATGTCGGTCGTCACCTTGTTGGCGATGTGGACGGGCACGGGCAGGGCCGACAGCTGGGCCGTCTTCGAGTCGAGCGCGACGAGGACCCGGGTCGCCGACGACGACGACGACGCGTCCTGGTTGGCCATCTTGACGAGGCGCTGCTTCTGGAACGACGAGCCGTGGCCCGGCGGCGTGTCGGCGCCGCGCGTCACCTTGCCGCGCCAGTACGCCGCGTCCTTCTTGAGCTCCCAGTCCATGTCGGTCGGGATCTTGGTGCGCCCTCGACGGTACTCGAGCTCGTACGTGAACTCGCTCGTCGGCTGCCAGTAGTGGTGCGACGGGATGAGGATGTCGGCGTAGCCCGACGGCTTGGACGGCGAAAAGACCGGGTACAGGTGCTCAATGCTGCGCTGGTCCGAGTAAAACGCCGAGTGGAGCGTGTGGAGCGACGGCGAGTCGCACACGTAGAAATCGGCGTCGAGGTCGTGGCTGAACGTCATCTCGCGCGTGACGGGCAGGACCGTCTGGCTCTTGATGCGCCGGGTCGACACGGCGTCGACCTTGTTGGTCGTGCGGCCCTGGACGACGAGCGAGCCGTGCGTCTCGGCGGACCGGACCGACTCAACAAGCCGGCGGGCGGCCGACTCGGTCGGGCACGAGCGGCGGTACGCCTCCCACACGTTCCCGTCGCGCTTCCACTCGGCGGCGAAACCCTTGAGCGACGGGCGATGCATCGAGTCGGTGGCGTCTGTGTGAGAGGGTCGAGTCAGTCGAGGTCGACGAGGGGCACGAGGAGGAGGAGGCGGGAGGAGGGAGGAAAGAGGGGAAACGGCGGAGACGCACTGGCGACGAGCTCCTCGCCCTCGAGGCCATAGTCGGACATGTAGACGCGGCGCTGCTGGCGAGGGAGGACCCGGCCCTCGGGCTTCTCGTTGATGGCGATGTCCATGTCGGGGAGGTCGTGCACGAACGAGGCGATCATCTCCTGGAACGCCTGCGCCGGGAGCCACTTGCCCGACTTTGAGTGGACCTGCGCCTGGCCGTTGCGGATCGAGACGATCGAGATGCCCGGGACGTGGGCGAGCTCTGCCGTGCGGCGCCGGAGCTCTTGGGGCGCGAGCTCGCGGAACGGCGCGAGGTCCTGCATGAGCTGGTCGTACTCGTCGACGAGCGAGTGGTTGCGGCCCTGGGTCGCGAACGCGAACCACTTGTCGAACCCGGGCGGCGGCGAGAGGCCGTACCGGCTCTTGTACGTGCGCGTCGCGCGGTCGAACGTGGTCGACTGGGCCGCGAGCTTCTTGTCCCAGCTCGTCGCGGCCGACTTGAGCAAGGGCAGGATCGGGTGCGGCGCCGGACTGCCGCCCTCGTACACCTGCATGAAGGACGACACCGACTGGGGCATGAAGCGCGCGACTTTGACGGCGTGGTGCTCGGGGATGAAGCTCATGCGCGCGAGGACGACGACGAGGCACAGGACGGCAAACACGGCGGCGACGAGCTTGAGGAGCGTGTTGACCGGCGACGCGACCTGCTTGTCCTTGAACTCGAACGTGCCCGGCGCCGTCGCGCGCAACAGGTCGTCGCCCTCGCCGTCTGGCGCCTCGAACCCTTGGCCGCCGTACCCGCCGTAGCCCGATGCACTCGGCCCGTCTGCGCCTGCGCCTGCGCCTGCGCCTCGGACAGGCGACCCGAGCCGGTCAGACGGGTCGAGGACGGGCGTGGTCGACGACAGGACGGGGACGGCAGAGTGATCGGGGCGGGTCGACGAGGCGGCGGGTGCGCCGTACGCGGGCGAGTCGGGCAGAGCTGGCAGCTCGTCCTTGCCGAGGCCGCTCATCGCAGGCGGGGTGCGAGAGAGGGCGGAGTGGGGAGGTCGAGGTCGAGGTCGGGAGGGGGGAGGTGGATGCGGTGCGGCGGGAGCGCGACGGCGGCGGTAGTGTGTGCTCTGGCGCGTCGAGCGCAGTGATGGGCTCGCTAGGAGCGGCCTTGGTGAAGCGTGCAGGTGCACTCGAGGTCGTAGAGGGAGAGCGTGAACGATCTGGACTCAGAGGCTCGACGCGCCGCCGGTTCCGGGATTTCCTGCGACAACTGCTCGTGGCGCAGGCCAGAGCGCTGTGCAAGGTCGTGTTCGTCGCTTGCGACACTCTCACGAGTCGATTGAGGCCGGCCCAGCAAACAAGGGAGAGTTTCACCTCATCACGTCGTCGCCAGCTCCGTCGCGAGGGCTTGGTCGCAACTCTGAGGGTCCCGCCCCGTCCTTTGCCTCTCGAGCTGCACGGTCGCCTGCACCATGGCCACTACCGATCACGCCCAGTACCACTTCGAGGCCGCGCGGCCGTCGCACTCGTTCACGACCCCGACCATTCCGACCGCGCCCTCGTCGCCTCAACCTCAGCTCGCAACTGCCACAAAGCGCCCTTCTGTCGTCCCACCCTGGATCCTCATCCTCGGATGGATCACCCTCTCGACCGCCGTCATCCTCCAGAGTGAGCCGGCCCCCGTCCTCTCCTCCTCGAAGTGGAGCGCCATGCTCACTACCCCTCCCCTCCCCTGCAGACCGCACCATCCTCGTCGAGCGCGGCTTCAACCACCCGATCACGCTCACGAGCCTCCACCTTCTGTTCCAGACCCTCGCGACCCGCGTCCTGCACCGCTCCACCACCCTCATCTCGGGCCCGGTCCCGCACGACGACTACGCCGCCGTCCCGCTCACCGAGCAGGGCGACGAGGCGCCCGAGGCGCCCGGTCGACACGCAGACGTCGAGCGGTGGAAGGCCAAGAGCGTCGAGATGGACTGGAGAACGTGGCGGCGCCAGATGTGCGTCCTCCCTCTCTCTCACGACGACGACGACGGACAGAGCTAACCTCCCTCGCCCACAGCCTGCCCATCGCCGTCCTCTTCTCGCTCTCGCTCGTCCTGAGCAACGTTGCCTACCTGTACTGCTCGGTCGCGTTTATCCACATCCTCAAGAGCTTTGCGCCCGTCGCCATCCTCCTCGCCGCGTTCGCGTTCCGCACCAAATCCTTCTCGTTGAGGCTCCTCGGCATCGTCGTCGTCATCTCGCTCGGCGGTGCGTCTGCGTCTTCCCCTCTCTCGGGGGCGAGCGAGCAAGGGACGAGCACGCTCAGGAGGGCACTGACTCGCCCGCGCCCGAGAGAGGGGAAGACGCAGACGCACCGCCGAGCGAGATGACGACGACGATGCCGAGGAGCCTCAACGAGAAGGATTTGGTGCGGAACGCGAACGCGGCGAGGAGGATGGCGACGGGCGCAAAGCTCTTGAGGATGTGGAT